CTAGCATAATTGTGGAGAGCTGTAGTTTACTTGGAGAAAATCAATGAAGAAATGAGCAGCACTAGAAAATACAGTTAGGATGTGTGGTGAGTGTATTTTTAACATCTAAATATTCCGCAGGGGGGTGACTTTGAGACCGGGTCTCATTTTGGATTTCAGGCTCACCTTAAAATTCTAGCAGTCTTCCTGCCTCAGTGCACACCCAGCTGAGATCCTTAAAATTTTAAGCACACAATACTTTATTGTTAAAAATATTTAGATGCTGCCATGTGTGATTGCTTGTGGCTCAGCAATCCAGGGGCTGAGGCAAGAGGATCATCTTGAATTTATGGCCAGCCTAGGTGGGTTACATAAGATCTTGACTCAAATCCTCCCCCCCATAAAGATCTCATGTTAAGTAATCGTACTACAACAAAGGGATAGGGATGCAAGAAAACGTGGAAATAGCTATCTTTATTATATTGGTTGTTGTGATGGAAATGTACAAGTGTATGCATATGTTCAAACTCATCAGGTTGTATATGTTACAGGTTGTATCAGTTTTTTTGCACATTATGTTCCAGTAAAGCTGCATAAAATAGCACTTCCTTCAGAAAATAAGTAAATGTTTTAACTGAAATCTATTTGTATATATTGTGGGGAGGTTCTGAGAGAGACCTTTTTGGTGTTAGTTCTGAAGAACCATGATGTTAGGCATTTGTTAATTAACCCATGGAACGTAACACTAATTTTGTCATAGTGCAGAAATGTGGGCCTGTCAGACCCATGTTTATTCTTTAAAGTATTTCTATTGGTGAATTGTTTTAAGAGTTTTATTGTATTAAATGAGTGCTAAACAGGAAAATCACAAAATAAAGTATGGAATTTTTAATATTTATAAAAATGCATCAAATTTTTCAGCGTCTTTTATTTGGTGTACAAAGTCTAAAAAAAAAAAAAAAGAACAGCACAGCTGGAGATTTAGCTCAGTGCTACCGTGCCTGCCTTGCAAGCACAAGGTCCTGAGTTCAATTCCTGTTACAAAAACAAAACAAAACAAAACAAAAAAAACCCAACCACACATAAGTTCTTCTATGAACTGCAATGAAAATACCAATAACACTTTATAAAAAAATCTTTACTTCAAGTATCACACCTAAGGCAGTCTGCACCCAATAGCATGTTGCATACACACATATTGCTTACATTGACAGCACATGTGTTTTTGCTTTCCTGGCCTTTTTGTAGGGCATACTTGAGATCTCACTGGTTTTGCTGTTTTGTCAGGAGTTTCTTACTATATTACACAGTGTGTAGTTAACAGGAACATAAAATATCAATAAAATAAAATATTAAATTCTTAATGTGTGTGTTGAGAGTAGACATCAACATTTTTACATCAGCTGTGTACTAATGAAACCTAAAAGGTAGACAGGAATAAATTCCTATCTACAGTGAAAATACTTACAGAACTCTACAACAAAAATAAACTTTGCTTCAGTAGTCACACCAAGACAGTCTTCACACATGACAACTTTGTATTCCATACACAAATATTGCTTACACTGATAGAGTGTATGTTTTGTTTTCCTATCCTTTCTTGTAGGGCACAATTGACCTCTTTATTTTTCCTATTGTCCTAGTAGGTCTTGGTGATGCTACACCTGCCTCTTGACCTGTCAGCTCACTAATTTTCTCCACAATTTTGTATGTATGTGTGTATGCACGTGCATGTGTAGTTAGTTCCCTGGGCAGAAACATTTTGGTTTTCCTCTTCTAATGATTTTTTTTTTTTTTTGAGGCAGGGTCTCACTGTGTAGCTGAGACTGACCTGGAACTCACTATGTAGCCTAGGCTGGTCTCAAACTCACAGCAATTCTCCTGCCTCAGCCTCCCAAGTGCTGGGATTACAGGCGTGTACCACCACACCTGGCTCCAAACTTCCATTTTCTTGAGGTTTCCCTATCAGTATTTCCATCATGGTGCAGTTTTGACATCAGCAGTTCCAGTTTTTTTTTTCTTTGCCATATAACAGGCCAGTGCAAATCTTTCTGAAATCCAAAGATTATACTATACAATTCTCTATACAGTGTTTCTCTGCATCATTTCATTTGGAATTTCTGCTTTGCTCCTGAGTACAATTCCTGCACTGGTCAACTTGTGCTCTGTTAGCAAATGTAGCATCAATTGGAAACTGGTAAACCAATTGTTGAATGTCTCATTCCAATTAGTTTGGGAGATGGGACAAACAAGTCTTTTTTTTTATAACATCATTTGGTTTTTTTACTATACGAATGAAGACCTGATGGCACTTTCAGGATAAATGTCTAAATTGAAAGCATAATGTCTTTACATCTACAAAGGTATTTATTTATATGCCATATTTTGACCCATTGCTTTTCTGTAAGTATTTTTATTCCTGCAAATACCATGAGAAATCTATAGTAGTACTAAGAATGCTTTCAGTTCAACTAATGAGGTATCATAATAAGTATATTTTTGAAGATGGCAGTTGGTGCATATAGATTGTTTTACTTGCATTTCACCCTTTGTGTACCTCACAGTATCTTGTAGGTAGCATTTTGTCTTGTTATAATTTCTAGCATTGAATGGTAGTTCTGGCATTCTGTTCAATATGTTTCATCCCTGCCAAGACCCTAACTATATTTTTGGACCTAGTTCTAACATTGGATAATTCCATTTGGTTACATGGGCATTTTGCAACATTTTGACTAGTCAAATATGTACTCACATTGCTGTTTTTCTTCATCATCTGAATCAAGGAGGTCTGCATTTCAGTTGATTCTTGCTCCATTTCACTGTCACAGGAATTTTGGCTCACATGGCCAGCGTCAAAGTCATCGTGGTGTTGTCACACACCCCCCATTTTCGTCATCTTATACGCACACCACTGTTCTGTTATGAAAATGTGTTTTACCATTGTGGATTATCTTTATCATCCATGCATGAGTAATCTGATCACTCACTTTTGACCTCCAAAACGTGCAAATCTGGTTTTTCATGTGCCATTGTACTGAATTGGGCTAATTCTACAGAAAAATCAAAAGAAAACTTTTGTTTTAAACAAATCTTGGAGTGGTGTTTGGACAAACCTTGGACCCACTGTGATGCTTGGGTCAACATACATAAAACCAGTTTAACAGTGTATATAACATGGGTAGAAATCCCATTTTGCCACTTTAGCACACACCTTACCGTTCATTGTACCAAGTGGGTAAAAACAAAGATAGCTTCCTGAACCCCTCAGGGAAAGGTAACTGAAATGCACGGCTGGCTGCTATTACACTAACGTACAAATTTACAGTAGAAAAATAAGGGTTAGGTCTGTTGGACCCAGTGTCTTGCTTGGGATTAATGAAAATAGGGACCAAAACATGATGAATTCAATTGTAGTATTGTATTTTAATCATAGTGGACTCTGTGAAAATTTGAAAAAACATTTTTACATAGTCTTAAAAATTCTCAGTGTTTGTGACTATCCCAGTTTTGTGAGTGAACATCATAGTCTTTCATAGCCATACAATTTGTTTTGTTTTGCATTGTTTGAGACAGGGTCTTACTATGTGGCCCCAAATTTGAGGTCCTCCTGCCTCCGCAAGTATGAGGGAGTCCTGCCCCAGCCTCTCTAGCACCACAATAACAGGTGGTTGGGTTATGCCCCAACATAACTTGCTAGGTGTAGAGTTTAAGAGGAGGAGGTGGTGACCTGATATAAGTTAATTACTATAGGAAATAATAAATCAGATTTATATTTACTCATTAAAAGTTACTCATCTAAGATTTGTAGTGCACAGCAGTAGCTAGTTAGTAACACACTGTATGGGATTTCTGATGTTCTTTTTGGTCTGTGTTACTAAAGACAAATGACAAGGCACATTTCATCAGTCACAGTGTAGATCAGAGCCCAGAGGGTATGTATAGTAAATGTGTCATGGGAATTACTATGCAGCATTCTTAGATTTTTTTGAGAGGTAAATTTCTTTCCAGTAATTGGTACAGACTTAATGTGCATATAGTTCTTTCTTCCCATTTATATCTGTGCATGCTGTTTGTTTGCACACACTCCCCCCCCCCTTTTTTTTTTTTTTTAGTTTTTTTGGAGACAGTTCCACCTGGCCTTGAATTCACTGTGAGGCAGGCAGCAAACCACTGAGCCAAATCCTGGGCCTTGAACTCACTGTATAGTTTAGGCTTTCAGCCTGTGGAGTGCTAGGATAACAGGTGTGTGCCACCCACGCCTGGTTTACATTTCATGTAAGGTCTCTTGCTTTGTTTGTTTTTTTTGATTGTTCTGACTTCTTAGAAGAGGAACTGGGTTTAGAAATACATCTATTACCTAAGGCTGACCCTCTCATTAGTGCAGACACACCCAGGCATATGTTCTCTGAATCTACCAGACATTTCTTACTCCAATGAAGCTGACACATCAGGCTTAACGATCCTAACATGAAAGGGTGGAAGGGTAGCTAAGTGATATCAGTGTTTATTCAGGTTTTCAGTAGCATAGTTCTAGCTTGGAAGCAGATGTCCAAAATGAAATTGATTGTGTATATTGCCCTGTCTGGTATGGCTAGGTGACAAGGTGTGGTAGATGCAAAGTTAGCAAAAATGATGGGTGCCTCGTCAGCAAAAACAGCATTTTTTTGAAGTATGTTTATCAGTGCTTTACAGCTAACAATGTGAGAGATTTTCACTGCTTCAATGGGAGACAGTTCTCAAAAGTTTTTTGTGTTTTCTCTAGGAGTATATTTGCTGTGTATTTTTATAGCTTAGTGAGGCATTTAGGTGGTGGCAAAGTTAAAATCTTGGGGAGGAAAGGAGAGATAATTTCTGGTTAACTGCTTTTGATCATCTTTTTTGATATGACAAAATGTTTCTTGAAAGTAATAATTTTGGTGATACAGTATGTAATGAACAATATTTAGAAATTTCTTTACTGATTATTATTTTTTTTTAAGTCATGCTGATTTGTAAATTGTAGAAATTTTGCACTAATTTAACCCAGTTCCACTTTTAGTCCAGTTACAACACAGGGATCACAACAGACACAGCCCCCGCAGAAGCACTATGGCATCACCTCTCCTATCAGTTTAGCATCCCCCAAGGAGACGGATTGGGTGCTGACACAGAAACTCATTGAGACTCTGAAGCCCTTTGGGGTTTTTGAAGAGGAAGAAGAACTGCAGCGCAGGTAAATAAATGGACTGTGTGTATCTGTAGGTTAATGTATATTATTTTATTAATGTTGAAAGAGGCATTTCTGTACTCACTTCGAAGGTCATTGTTGTTCTCACGGATCTGTGTCTATTTTGTACAGGAGAGAGTTCTCTTTCCTTGATTTTTTTTTTTTTTTTTTTTTTTGTTTTTTTTTTTTTTTTTTTTTTTTTTCTGGTACCGGAAATGGAACTCGGGTCCTTGCGCTTTCAAGGCAGGCAGCAGAACCGCTGAGCTAAATACCTGGCCCTCTTTCCTTAATTTTGATATGTGGTGCTTTGAGTAATTTCAGTATAGAATAGTCTGGAGAAAGGACAAAGTCTTACCCAGTGAAACATTGTTTGTATATAACTAACTACTGCACATTGCTGATTACTTAAATGTAAAATTTAGGAAAGTACCTATTTAAGACTTTTGTAAGTCAGTAGTAATATGGAAAAACAACTTGATATTTACTTTATCAACAGGATTTTAATTTTGGGAAAATTAAATAACCTGGTGAAAGAGTGGATACGAGAAATCAGTGAAAGCAAGGTAAGGTGACACTTTGTACAAAAAATGATTTGTAAATAGTTAACACAGCAATTGTCTTGTGATATTTGAGTGAATTTAAAGTCTTTAAAGTTGTGTTCATATTAAACTACTAAGAGCAATTTCTGTTTTGTTTCTGGTTATTTTGAAAGCAAACAGTCAACAACTGAACTTGGTGATTTTTTTCTTTGATCGCAACATTTCAAAGCTGAACTCAGTAACTAAACTACTCACACACTTTTACTCATACTCTTTATAGAGAAGCAGTAGATGTTTTCCTGAAAGGGGAAGATTTGTAGGTAGCATGCATGAGGGTCTAGATTTCAACCCTTCAGCAGATGTTTACTGTGTTTCAGAGTGTTATCTTTTAAGGAATTCTAAAAAATGGGCTAATTAAAAATTTTTTGATACAGGATTATCAAATTGTTGATAAAGGGAGCATGACCCATGGATGAATACAGGACCTCTAAATAATTCAAGTAATGTAAGAGGAAGATACTGTAACTCATCCTCCTAGATGTCTGGACACATGAAGTTCATGTTCTCTAAAATGAAAGAATGAATTCTAGAAATGGAGATTAAGAGCAGGAAGAATTTATTGAAAGATAGCTTCTAAGAGAGAAAGATGGGGGACTGCAAAGTTGGCTGCCTGCCCACCTCATTTCTCAAAAGGCATTTTATTGAGCAAAGCCGTGAGGTGAGGCGGGTATAAGATGGGACAAAACTATAGTAACTAATAAGATTACAAGTATAGTTGCTTAAGTAATATTGATCCAAAAGGAAATCATGAGGTGGGACAAAACTGTGATCAACCAATAAGATTGCAATGAATATAGTCACTTTTTAAGTTCTGATTAAATGGGGAAGCTGATAGAACCTGGACCACACAAGAATTTCCCAGAAGGTATGGGCTAGGGAGGTTTTGGTCACCACTCAAGGTGATTGATACCTATTTAGAATACCAAGTATGTGGGTATTTTTGAATCCTGGCCTTTGATAAATGAGCCTTGGGCCACAGTTGTCTTTTGTGCTGAGGGCCCAGCCCTGTCTGACTGCCTTGTAATATTTTCTAACTAGTTTAGCTGTCTATAATGGTATCATTGCTTAGTTTTTTGTAACAGCGTTCTCTTGAAGTTTCTGAGTTACTGTGGGGAATCCTAGTAAAGGAAGTGTTTTTTTGGTTTTGGTTTTGGTTTTTTGAGACAGGGTCTTACTATAGAGTTCTGGCTGGCCTCGAACTTGCAGTGATCCTCCTGCCCCAGCCTCCTGAGTGCTGGTACTACAGGTGTGCACCACTATACCTGGCTAAGAAATGCATTTTTAGAACCCTGCAGAACTAATTTGAATTGCTTTTTAAAATACTTTAACTAATGGCAATTTTTTCAGATTGTAGAAAATGCATTCTGTAAATGTAGCTGCAAAGTTGATATAGAAGAACCAAGAATAGAAGAAAATCTCTTAGGGAGAAAAACGGTGTTAATTTAGGAGAAAAGTTAAAGACTTGTGTTTGGTGAAATTGATAATGAGATTTCCTTTGGTTTTGGGGAGGGCTATATTAATTTCTTTAATAACTATTTGTTTTTGGTACAGGGGGTGGGGATCGAATGCAGGACCTTGCACTTGTGAGGCAGTACCACTAAGCTAAATCTCTGGCTAATGGTGTTTTCTTAAAGCAACTTATATATTTATATATATTTTTCCCCCACCCCTTTTTTGGTACTGGGGATCAAACTCAGGACCTTGCACTTGGAAGGCAAGCAATGGAACCACTGAGCTAAATCCCCGCCTAGCAACTTATATTTAATTCAGACAACTGATTAACTTTAGCAACTGGTGTAATAGATGGCACATATGGATCCACTTGTTTAAACAGGCCTTTTTGTTGTGAGGAAAAGAAAAGTTTATTCCAGTGAACAGGCACTAAAATCAGGGAGGGACTCCAGCCACTAGCTGGGAAAAGCCAAGTTTGTTATATCCGTGTGTCGATTGTCTGACACTGGGAGAGAAAAATAGCAGCAGCTAGCAGGGAGAGATTTCATCTGTCAGTGGCTGGGCTAACCAGGAGAGAGATCAGCAGCTAATGGGAAAGGGATTAGGCTTATGTAGATATTGAAGTGGCTAAGAAATCTGGAGTGAAGTAGTTATAATTGAGTCCAGGGATGGTCAGCACAGGTGTGTAGACAATCCCTGGAGTTTTTGGTGCTGGGGAGATTGTCTTCTGTTTACTGAGAAATAGCCTGTCATCTGCTGAAAGTGGCCTGTTTGCTTTTGTCTTGTTTGTTTGTGACGGATTCACTTAGGTCAGGCATGACAACTGGAGTATTATAAATGGTGATTTTTTTTTTATGTAGCACATTTCTCTTTTCTTTTCTTCTTCTTTTTTTTGGTACTGGGGATTGAACTTGGGACCTTGCGTTTCTGAGGCAGGCAGCAGAACCACTGCGCTAAATCCCTGACCCCTGTAGTGCATTTCTTATTAATGGAGTTTCTGAGAAAATGAAATACATGGAAAGAATTTTTTAAAGCTGAGTAAGTGATGTTTAAGCCTAACTTTTTTGTTTTGTTTTGTAAATATTATCTTGTGACATGGTCTCACTTAGTTACCCAGGCTGGACATGATCTTCCCAGGTCTTTGTAAATTTTGAGGGAGAACCTCATTTAGTTGCTCAGCCTGGCCTTGAGTTTATGATCTTTCTGCCTCAGCCTCTCAGGTAGCTAGAGGAAAATAGGTATTTTATTAGCCCTGTTAGGAAACAAAGATTTTTCTTTAAGGGCTTTTTCTTAGAGGTTTTAAGTTTAAAAATCTTAGTCAAGTAGATAGCCAGAACTTATTTTTTCCTTTTTTTCTGAAAATAAAACATTGTCTTTTTGTTTTTTTTTCCTTCGGGTACTTGAGCCTGTAATTTTTTAAGGTTTTTTTGAGACAGGGTTTCTTTATATAGTTTACATTGGCCTTGAACTCACTATGCATCCCAGGCTGGACTTGAACTCAACAAAGATCCTCCTGCCTCAGTCTCCTGAGTGCTAGGATTATGGGCATGTACCACCATGCCTTCCTCTGAGCCAGTAATTCCTGATACACAGTAGTTCTTTCCACTGGTTTTCCTGAAGGTAACAAAATTAATGCTCTTTCCAAGTTTGTCTTTGACCTTTTGACAGCCCAGGTTTTTATTTAGGCAGTAAGGTGATTTGAAAATGTGGTAAAGAATTTATCCACCTAAGGCTTGATCTTTTCTGCCTTTTGTAGAGAGAATGTTTTCCCCAGCTGGTTAGTCTTTAAAATTTATTATGGGATTTCTTGATGTTGGTACTATTAATACATTTGGACCAGATCATTCTTTTTCAGGTGCCTGTTCTGTATGTTGTAGGATAATAAGTGGCATGTCCTCTGCTTTCTTAGTTACATGTCCCCTAGTTGTGATATCCCAAAATTTCTCTAGTCAGGTGGCACTAGGGGAGAGAAGTACTGATTCAATATATAGTTGGAAAATTTTATAAAGTTTGAGTTTAACATTAAAATGGGTGGCTTGAGTTGGGCACGTTTGTGCACACCCATAATCTCAGCTTCCTGAGAGGCTGAGCCACTGGGTTTAAGCCTACCCTGGGGAGGCTAGGGAGGCACCCATCTCAAAAGACAAAACCATCTAACACTTAATGCTTTTAGGTCTTTAAGCAAAAATTTTACTATGAAATGTTTTTTACTGGCCAAGGGTGGTGTCACATGGCTTTAAATCCAGCGCTTGTTAGGCTGAGCCAGGAGAATCTCAAGTATGAGGTAAGCCCAGGGCTATATAGTGAATTAAAGGTTCCTTTAACGTACACAGTGAGACTCTGGCTCCAAAAAGAAAAAAAAAATGTTTTTTTGTAACGTGAATTAAGAAATCTTGTTTTCTGATTACAGTGACCATAGCAGGATAAACATAGGAATATCTAGATGTGTAATACAATGATGTCTAGTCTACATGTGACTATTTAAGTTAGGATTAAGATGTAGGTTTTTAATACGTTCTTGAAGGGACTTTAATTTGTATGTTTCATTGCCACATAGCTTGAACCATCATTAATTGGTACATACGTTGCTGTCCCATCAGGTGCCTGTTTATTAACTTTATCAGTAAAAAGACTGATAAAAGTGATTAGATTCGTTTGTACCACCAGTGGTATAAGCCATCTCCTGGGACAGTCATGCATGTGGAGCCAGTGGTTCAAGCCAGTGGGAACATGTTAATTGCACTAGCCATGTTTCACGTGGGCAGTAGTGAAGAATGTACTGGCTACTGTATTGGACATTGCAGATGTAGGATGTTTACAGCTTTCCATAAAGTTTTATCGCAGTGTGTTTGTCTATGAAATATATGTTTTAATTGCCAGTGTCGCCAGTTCATTATTGTAAGGTAGCTTTTAACGTCTTTTTGGATCTAATTGTGCACATAGCTTACTGTCTTATTTTAAATAACCGCCAGCATTGCAAGTATTCTTTTTTTTTTTTTTTTTTGGTACCGGGGATCGAACTTGGGTTCTTGTACTTGCGAGGCAGGTGGTGGAATCACTGAGCCAAATCCCTGGCCCTCATTGCAAGTATTCTTAAACATCTAAATATAAGAAAGCAGCCAGGCATGGTAGTGCATGCCTGTAATCCCAGCACTCGGGAAGCTGAGGCAGGAGGATCGCTGTGAGTTCAAGACCAGCCTGGGCTACATAGTGAGTTCCAGGTCAGTCTCAACTACATAGTGAGACCCTGTCTTAAAAAAAACAAAAAAAAAAACGCAGAGGCCTTGCTTCTTAAAAATGTTAACAGTTTTCATATGCTTTGATTTCCCTGGTGAAGGTTAAACATGCCCTTGAAATATAAGAGCCCCTGAATTTTTTTTAAGTTTAAAGACTTTAATCAGTTTTGTTTTGGAGTTAAACAACAATTTATTTTATAAACTAGAATGAATGTTGCCCTTCTTGACTCTTGAGACTTTTTTTTTTTTTTTTTTGGTACCGGGGTCCAACTTGGGACCTTATGCTTACAAAGCAGGTGGTGGAACCACTGAGCCTAAATCCCTAGCCCTTTAGACATTTTTAGAAAGTTTTTTTGAATACGAAAGAAATAACACTTGATTAGCACGATTTAAGGTTTTTTTTTTTTTTTTTGAAGTTGGGGATGGAAAGATAATTCTGTGCATGGTCTGGTACCAAATGCTTTATTTTACTAAGGGATTGAAAGTTGAAAAGTCACCTGCCGCTCATTATATATTGTTTAGTTTTGGTTTTGATTTTTTTTTTTTTACTTTTGGTACCAGGGATTGAACTCAGGACCTTGTGCTTGCTAGGCAGGTAGCGGCACCACTGAACCAAATCCCAGGCCCTGTTTTGTTATGGGACAGATAGGAACCAGGGCCATTGAACATAACAGTAGTACAATACTTTTAACTATCATGCCAGAGATGAGAAGACTTGTTTTGTTTTGTTTTGTTGAGAAAGAGCCTTGCTATATAGTTCAGGCTACCCTTAAACTATGTAGACAAGGCTGGCCTCAAACTCACAGTAGTACTCCTACGTCAGCCTCCGAGGCGATGGGATTACAGATAATGCACCACCGTGCCTGGAAGGAAGACAGTTTTTGAATGCTTTGCCGTTTCTCTCTTCCTGATGCTTTCCCCCATACCGGGAATCAAACTCAGGACCTTGCACTTGCTAGGCAGGCATGGCACCACTGAGCTACATCCCTGGCCCCTTCTTCCTGATGCTTCTTAGGGGAAAAATAACACCACAATAAATCTAGTTCTTTTTAAAATCATTCCACCAAAGTGTTTTGGAAATGTGTAGCAATATTGATTGACTTTAAGGTCACTTTTTGTGGGTTTGGGGGAGACGGTCTCGCTATGTAGTTAAGTCTGTCCTTGAATTCATTTTGCAGCCTAGGCTGGCCTCGAACTCAAGACAGTCCTGCCTCAGCCTCCAGAATGCTGGGATTACAGGTGTGCACCACTATGCCCAACTGAAGTCACTTTTGATATAGGAAAGTTATATTCTAATATGCTATGGGGTATTTAGTATTAACACTGAATACTTTTAAGTGTTCAGAGTATCTTTTATTTATTTATTTATTTATTTGGAGACAGGGTCTCACTATGTAGTTGAGACTGACCTGGAACTCACTATGTACTCCAGGCTGGTCTCTAACTCACAGCAATCCTCCTGCCTCAGCCTCCCAAGTGCTGGGATTACAGGCGTGCGCCACCATGCCCGGCCCAGAATATCTTTTTTTTTTTAGGAAGCTCAGTCATGATTTATTTTATGTAAGATGTTGTCACGAACAAAAGCCCTAATTTTATCATTGCTTTTGTGGGAATACTTGATCTCCTCCATTTGACTGGATAGCAGTTTCCAGAAATAGTATATGTCTTCACCAAAGAACACTGTTAGAAGTTGGAAATGCTTGAATTTCTAATTAGATTGAAAGGACTTTTGTGTTTTTGGTAAGATTTTATGTTTGAATATGCTCTATAAAACTTTGTTTCATCATCTTAATTTGGGTTTTTGGTTTGAGATTGAGTCTTGCTGTTTTCCCCAAGCTGACCTTGCGCTGTTGGGCTTAAGGATCCTCTTTTCCACTTCCAAGTAGCTGGCATTGCAGGTGTGGACTGCCTGACTTGTTTTGGTTTTTTAGAAGTATGATATGAGCCAGATGTGATGCACGCCTGTGATCCCAACTCTTGGGAGGCTGAGCAGGAAGATCACTAGTTCAAGGCCAGCTTCATAGTGAGTTAAAGGACATCCTTTAACTAGTGTCTCAGAAAAGCCAAAAAGAGAAGGATTAAAGATTTTTTTAAAGTAAAGTATCATTTAAAAGTTTTCCTTGTGTTCCACTGACATTTTATTTGGTTTGTTTTAACAGAATCTTCCACAGTCTGTAATTGAAAATGTTGGAGGAAAAATTTTTACATTTGGATCTTACAGATTAGGAGTACATACAAAAGGTACATAATTTGTTTCTCTTAAAGGAATGTATTTTTAAGGATTATAAATGTTTGTCTTCATTACTTAGGAGTTATATACAAGCTTATGTTTGCATGGAAGAGCAAATACTTGAAGATACAAAGAAATGGCTTCTTCCTTTGCAGTACTAAAATTAAGAAAAATGCAGTTCCCAGAAGTTAGCCACGCTGTCTGTTCTCCAGCTGCACTGGCTGTTAGCTACTACATGGGAAGTTGCAGATGTGTAGAACATTTTCTTTTGCAGAGTTCCTTTGGACCATACTATTCTTCATGTCATTTCCTCTTGCTTGAAGGATGTCACTCTAGAAGGTAGAATAAAATGAATGAAAGTTTTTAAGAAAATCTAGTGGATTTTCTTTTACTCATTTACTACAGACAAATTGTAAAATATAGCTTAGCAAAAGACAAATCAGTGTATATCTGTGCCCATTGTTAATCACTATTTCATAAATTTTATATTTTCTTCATACAAAAATAATAATTTTCATGACAAACATTTATTAAACTGTTATGGTTGACACTGAACTAAATTCTTAATTTTCATTATTTTGTTTATCCCCACCAGTACTTTATTTTCACGTAACAAATAGCAGTCTGATACTTACAGAGGCAAAGGTTGTCTTTGCTGTCTATTGTCAGAACCAGTAGATGGAACTCAGATGGTATGAGGCTGTACTTCCTATCATTAATGTCTGAGTTCTGTTTTTTAAAAATGTGTCAGTGTACTGTTCTCTTGTGTTCTGCTACTCTTTCCTATCCAGTCTTGTGTTATTCTGTCCCAGTAGTACCACATTTGTTTTTTGATGTGTTGTTATTCAGATAGGTAGATAGTGTTTTCCCCTTTAAAATTTAAAAAAAATTTTTGATAATGTATCAAACAAGCTCTTTACCACTGAGGTATATCCCCTGCATTTCAACATCTCATATTTTAGAAAAATGATGAGGTTGATCTGATTCCGCATTAGTCTCTTCCTTTTAAGATCCCAGTTACTGTTTTTCACTCTCCTTTTTGATAGTAAAACAAATAAATACCAATTGCTTAGTGTATATAGAAAAATCAGTTTTGTTTGCTTAACTACCACGTCTCCATGCCTCTTCATCATGCAAGTCCTAAATGAACTTTCTTTGGACTCAGTTTACTTGGGGTCACTATAAATATAGGATGTGTTAGGAAAAAGCCTTTCCCATCCATTAGAAGAACCATGTTTGTCAGCTCTACTGACTGGTGATTTTTATTAAGTAGATGCATTTTTAAGAGCTTGCCAGTATAATGTTACACAGATTCTTAACATCAGATCTTGCCCTAAGATGCAGAATAACTTTCTTGTAGTACTAATTAGTGGTTGATGGGATTATTTTTTAGGTGCCGATATTGATGCATTGTGTGTTGCACCAAGACACGTTGACCGAAGTGACTTTTTCACCTCATTCTATGATAAATTGAAATTACAGGAAGAAGTAAAAGATTTAAGAGTATGTAAATGTTTGGGGTGAAGGGGGGGAGTTATAAAAATGTACTTAGTTGAATGAATTTTATGATAGAGCCATCATTTATTGAAGTGTTACAGTTTGCCAGGCCATTCAAGGCACTTAATGTGTATTTGCTTTGTATTATTTACAACAAGCCTAAAGTCATAAATCTGCAAAGTTTTTATAGATTAGGAAATAGAGGCAAACAAAATAAATGCTAAGCACAGTGGACCCTCAGGTTACAATTAGCCTGGCATACAAATAACTTGGGTTAATTAGGTTAATAGAAGATTCATCTGCCTCTTGTTATGTATAATGTGTACTCAAATAAACATCCAGATCTGAGCTGTATTGACTTAATAGTCAACTTGAGTTACAACCAGCCCCTGGGAGCTGATCAAGTTCATAAGTCAAGGATCCACTGTAATTTGCCTACGACTCCACATTTGATGAATGGCAGAGGTCACGGAGTGTAACCGCGGGGCATGAGGCAAAAGCTTGTTGCTGAGAACTTACTTTTTGTATCACCTTGTGCTAGATTATGTTTAAGCAACTTGAGAAATCACATTTATTTTAAAGTACTTAAAGGTAATATAGGCCTTGTGCAGTTTCACAAACTAAACTTGTTCACTTTTCTTAAAGGCTGTTGAAGAGGCATTTGTACCAGTCATCAAACTTTGTTTTGATGGGATAGAGGTAAGGTGTGATTCAAATGGACAGTTCTTGCTGTGAGATGTCACTAAGTTTGATTAGTGTAGGTAAAAATTGGGTTTATTTTTAAATAAGAAATAGAGTTGATTGGTGTTAAATAACAAGGTTTTTAAAAACGCAGGTCATTGCTTGTTCTTTACAGTGTATAGCATGTTTAGTTTTCTTAAATGTCAAGTGAAATTAGAAGCTGAAACAGGTAGAAGTAATGAAACCTACCGCTAATCTTTTATTTATTTATTTTGCTGCTGGGGATCGAACTCAAGTCCTTGTCCTTGTGCTTGCAAGGCAGGAGCTGGAACCACTGAGCTAAATCCCCGGTTCCCAAATAATTTTTACATGTGCAAAATCCATTGTATCTTAACTTGACTAAAGTTAAATATTAAAAAATTAAAAGAGAAATAATCATATTTATTAAAGTATTATCTGACAGAGCAGTGATACAGACAGCCTTCTGTGGCCTGTGTGCCATAGGCTTATCACCACAATGATAGAGGAGTTAGAGTAGAGCTCAAATTGTTGTTTTCAACACATGTATTGGAAGAAATGAGAACGAGCAGATGTGAAACTATTTTTGTGCTGTATCTGTTGATCATAGTGGTGCTGGAAAGTCCTTAGTGATGGTAAAGATTATCAAATTTTAGACAGTGGAATGCTCTTTTGTGTCCCCCCAAGATAGTATCTAGAATTGCTACACAAGAAGGCCAGCTACCAGTCTTAACAAACACATATAAAATGTGAAATTTGTAATGGATTATTCAATTTTTTGATTTACTGTTGATGTTTAAATAAGTAGAAAACAGTTTGTAGAGCCAGGCGTTTTGGCACATGCCTGTAATCCCAGCACTTGACAGGAAGGAGGATTGTGAGTTGGAGGCTACCCTGAGCTGTGTAGCAGGTTGAAGGTGCACTTGGGCAATACACAGAGAGAAATCTTGTCTCAAAATCTGTAGGGCCGGGGATTTAGCTTAGTGGTACCTTCTCCTGCCTTGCAAGCACAAGGTTCTGAGTTCAATTCCCGGTACCAAAAAAAAAAAAAATCTATAATGTAAATTATAAAATGATGTCCCAATTTTTTTCTTTCCCATAAAGAAAAATACATAACCTATCAGTATGTCTCATTTGCTTTTGAGTTAACTTGATTTTAAGAGCATAAAGTATTTCTTTGTTAATTGGGGAGATACTGAATTAGAAATCTGTTTCATTACAAAATTCCTACCTCAAATTCTTTTTGTTTTGGTACCGGGGATCGAACTTGGGTCCTTGCGCTTGTGAGGCAGGCAGCAGAACCACTGAGCTAAATCCCCAGCCCTGTACCTCAAATTCTATACTTAATTTGTGTAACAGTATATTTTCTTTCTGTATCATAGGTAAATGTTTAAATATTTTTTTCGCAGTAAGCTCTTTAAAATAACTGGCTTTAAAACTGATCTGATAAAAGCCTTGTTTATAAAAACATTTAGTGTTTAGGAAAATCCTAACCTTAGGAATACTTAACAGATATGTTGTTTCTTTGTTTTTTAACCTTTCATGAAAAGAAAAACTTTTGTTGGTTGAATTTTTTTAAGCTTTCAACATAAGACTGAATGATAGTAGTTGCTTGGCATTTTGAGGTATGCCTATAGTTATAGCATTCAGGGGCAGAAGGAAGAGAATTATGAGTTCAAGGCCAGCCTGGGCTTCATAGCAAGACCCAGTCCTATAATTCTCCCTCTCACTCCCCCCCACAGTTGTTCATTCTGGAGTTTTCTCTGGTTTTAATGTTTTGCTTCTGTTTTATTTTTATTCAAAATTAAATTGGAAGCTATGCTGTAATATTGACGTGTTTTCATATATAAGGAGCTCCTTTTATATTGAAGGTATTTTTGAACTGAATATAAAGGTATCTTCCTTATTTTTAGGCATTCTTTATTATGCAGTTATACTATAACTTATAAATAATGAAACAAAACTAATTTTAAGTATGCATCTAGCTACGTTTAATTATAATTAAAATAACAAGTAGGTACATGGACAAATTTCAGTTCATATTAGCCTGCGTTAACATCTTATTAAAATACCTATGATATGATGTAATTAATATACTGTGGACTTTGGAAGGATGATGTCATGTTCATAATCATTGAGAAGATCCTGGCTTTAAATAGTTTTTTTTTTTTAAAGAAATGCCTTAAAAATGATTTGACAGGTAAAGAAATTCAAGTTTTGTTTTTGTTTTAGATTGATATTTTATTTGCAAGATTAGCACTGCAAACTATTCCAGAAGATTTGGACCTACGAGATGACAGTCTGCTTAAAAATTTAGATATAAGATGCATAAGAAGTCTTAATGGTATGTAAAAAAGCCTACTTCCTTTTGCATAATTGGAGGTCTTATCAAATATTAAGTAGTTGTTTTTAGCTCCATTTTTGCATGATGCTTTTTGTAGCCATTTTCTAAATCCATAGTGAGTCATGAAATGTACTCCAGTAGACTACAGGGAAGTGGCTCATGGTTTATTTCATTCGTTACTGCTATTTTCCGTTATTAATGGTCCTTGGATGTTTAAAAAGACTGACATTTGTACTCTGTTGCTAGTGATCGAGATTTTTACTCTGCAACCCTAATTAATCTTAACCCTAATACTCCTTTGTAATGCTGTCCATTATGAAGTTTTAAAAGGGCTGTTTTTGAAGCATTTTGTATTAGCATAGCTTTTTACCGTTCTCTTGGACAACCATTCTTGGAATCTTAAATGGATTGAATCCTTCTCAGAATATTTGGACAAGAAAACATTTTGTTGTTGTACTGGGGATTGAACCCCACCATTCCTAGCCTACATCCCCATTCCTTTTTATTTTGAGACAAGATATCTCTAAGTTGTCCAGGCGGTTCTTGAACTTGTTGCTGGGGCTGCAGATGTGTGCCACTGTGCCTGGCAGAAGTTTTTATTTTGAGTTGCAAGTTTGAGATGAGGCAGATTACAATTCCATTTTCTTTGGTTTAGGCCTATGCTTGTGGTAGGAGAGTAATGCTTTTAGATTTCATTTTTTTTTCCTTTTTAATACCATTTCTATCAAATAAGCGTTTTTAATTTGACGTCAGTCTCAGAAAATTTGAAAGGTATATTATCATTAACCTTTGATGATTTAATTTTGTTTTTTCACTCCTATTAATCAGGTTGCAGGGTAACCGATGAAATTTTACATCTAGTACCAAACATTGACAACTTCAGGTTAACTCTGAGAGCTATCAAACTGTGGGCCAAACGTGAGTTCAGAATTTGTTGGCTAGCTTATTAAAAATGTTTAAATTTTTACTCAACACTAACTTATCTTTTTGCTTTTCCCTTATCAACAGGCCACAACATCTATTCCAATATATTAGGTTTCCTCGGTGGTGTTTCCTGGGCTATGCTAGTAGCAAGAACTTGCCAGCTTTATCCAAATGCAATAGCATCAACTCTTGTACATAAATTTTTCTTGGTATTTTCTAAATGGTATGTGTTTAGATTATATTAAAATAAAATTGATTGTAGACACTGAAGTTTAGTCTTATTTCTGACATTTCTGCAGCTGGTTTCAGATTCAAATTGTAGTTCATGAATTAGCCATTTAGATAGGCCTGGAAAATCACATTTTATATAGAATGGCAAACTTGAACTCTGTCCCCAAGCTTTCAGGATAGTAAAGCAGAGTGTTTGTACTTACTTGCATAAACCTGCCCTCCATATAAACTCCTGAGTTTTAGTTGAAATGCTGGCTGAAGTCCAATTGGTTAATAGGTTGGGGTATTGCTTATTTTGGGTAAACAACACACATCGCCTCTTTCACTTTTCAAATACTTTTATTTTTTGGTTTGTTTGTTTTGGTATCAGGAATCGAACTTGGGACATTGCTCTTGTGCGGCAGGCAGTGGCACTCAGAGCCTTTTTAAGCCAAAGGCCATAAATATTTTTGTGATTGTGTTTTTTGACTTTCAGCAATTCATTTATCTTTGATAAAATATTAAAGATGCCAGTTTTATAAAAAATCTTTTAAAAGTAAGTAAGTGTAAAGTGCAGTGGACTCTTGATTTATGAACTTCATTGGTTCCCGAGTGCTGGTTATAACTCAAGTTGGTTGTTCATCAATACAGCTGAGATCTGGATGTTAACCTGGGTACATGCTGTAGATAACAAGAGGCATCTTCCATCATCCTAATTACCTAAGTTGTTTGGGTGTTAGGCTGGTTGTAACTTGAGGGTCCACCATACTTAAAAAAAGTATAATTGCTTGACTGAGATTATTCACTACCCAGGACACTTTATGTGTACCTTATCTCAAGCTGTTTACAAGATGTCTAAATTTGTTTGCCAACCATGATTTCCTTCAAGAAAAGATGATTGTCATTTCATAGAAGTTGCTTTGCCCTTCAAAGTGTGGATTCTTGATTTTTTAATCACATTTATCTTAGAGCTTTAAGTATATCTTCCTGCCTACTTTACCCTTCTTCTGTCTGCAAAAAGAATTCTAGTAATTTCATAAAAATTAGAGACCATTTATAATTTAGAACTCTGCCACACTTTGATACACATCCAGCTGTTTTGCAACTTGATAGCACATTTTAATAACTTAAGGTGCTAACAGATTATAGAGCATTTTCTCTGAAGACTACACCTATATAAAGTGTTTTTAGAAAGCTAACATTGATATTAAGGTTAATAGATGGTTCCATTTTTTCTCTTCCTTAAAAGACTGAAGTAGCTAATTTATAGATTGCCACTTTACTGCACTTAACCATACTACCACCTGTAAGTTATGAAATAGAAAATTTTCCCTGTTTAACTTTTATAATTATATCAGTAATTTTTATGCTCATTTTTCTTTAGATGAAACTAATATAGGATTTTTGTCTTTGAAAGATCCGGTGCAAGATTCAGGTGAACACATACTGTTTTATTAGGTTCTTTGAGAGGCAGAGATGTTTGAGTTCATTTTGAGAAAACTACCATATGGTCTAATTTCATAGAGAAAAAATAGTCTAACAACAAAGAACAATTAAAGGGTATTATATACCAAAATGAATGAAGAAGGATCACGTTCACAAATGCTGTATGTTTAACAAAATACTTGTGGATGATAATGTCCAATAGTCTTATCAAGTGCTACAATCTTTTTAAACAGGGAATGGCCAAATCCAGTGCTATTGAAACAGCCTGAAGAATGCAATCTTAATTTGCCTGTATGGGACCCAAGGGTTAGTGTATTATTTTTTCCCCTAAAATTCACAATGTGCAATAACAAAGTCATCTGCATAAACTCGAGAGACTTCCCAGCTATTTACAAAGTATGAGTGGACATATCTGCATTACACTTTCTTTTAGATAACCTCATCTATAATTGTCCTCTGGTGTGAGAAGCATAATGATGTACCCTGTGAACCACATTTAATTGTACATAGTTTTTAATAGAAATTTTACTAACATTTTAAATCTCTATAGAACTGCCTTGTAAATCAAAGTTGTGTGGGCATTTGTGCTTTAAAAAAAATAAAAGGATACTAAAAATCCCTGTATTTTTTCATTTGATCTAAATATTTTGTTAAAATTTGGTGGTTGTAGGAAAGCTGTTGCTAGTAGGTAATTTCTAAGCAATATCATTCTAATTACCATGCATAGTTGTAAAAATTGTTGTAGGTATTTTAGTACAGAAACATGGTTGGGCTAAAAAAGAGCTTCTGTTTTGTTTCTTGGGAAGTTACATTTGCTTACTGCACGTTTTAAATGTTAACATGAATTTTATTAGGTTTGGGTTTTATTTTTATTTATTTATTTTTTGTCTGGAGACAGTGTCTCTGGTTCAGGCTGTCCTTGAATTCACTCTGTAAGCCCAGCCTGGCCTCAAACACAGCGATTCTCCTGCTTCAAGCCTCCTGAGTGCTGGAGTTACTGACATGTGCTACCATGCCCAGCTTTACTAGTTGAGAAAAGAAATTTGGGTTAGGATAAGGTTTACTGAATTCCATTTTTCTAAATTTGCTGTCTTTCTACAATATCAAAAACTAAGTTCTATTGCTCCAAGCTATGTATATATAAGTTTTCCAAACTTTATGGCATTTAATTTTGGAGGATGTGAGTTCATAATTCCCTTTGTGGGGTATACTACTTACCGCCAGTGCAGATTGCCAGCTACCTTTTAAAATGTTATCAATGTGGACCAAATAGTTTTAGTGTGTATTAATAAGTTTAAACTTCTTGTAAGAGTATGTTAAAAACTAGCTTCTGTCTTATACAGAACAAGGTGTAGCATTACATTTCTTTATAATTATGTCAGCAGTTATAAAGTTAAATTGTTGACTAAAGAAAGACTAAATATTGGTAGATTCCCAAGTATTTTTTTAGAGTTTTCTTTTTGCTTAGAAGACACATTTTAAGTAAATCATAAAATAATCATGCCAAAATGATTGCAACAAACCATTAATGAATACGAAATCTCTGATTCTGTAATCTCTCCTTTCATGATATTTCTTTCTCAACTCCAGCTATGAGTGATAAAATTTAATCAGGGTTCAGTTTAACAAGGGGTAAAAAGTCCAAGTATCTGTTGCATTGTACTTGAAGAAACTGATTGGCTGTTGTTGTATATAGGTAAACCCCAGTGATAGGTACCATCTTATGCCTATAATTACACCAGCATACCCACAGCAGAACTCCACGTACAATGTGTCCGTTTCAACACGGATGGTCATGGTTGAGGAGTTTAAACAAGGTAAGTGTTTATCCTTATGATCTCCTTTATACCCGAAGATTACACCATTGTAAACTCAGTAGTGCACTTACTTCATTGAAGAAAGCATACACTGAAGTGGATTTTGCTGTTCATTTATGATTACAGTAAATATTTGAGAATAATTTAGGTAATTTAGTTTTGATTATGTCTTAGAAGATTAACCATCAGTTAAAATCATGTCTTCAGCTGGACCCTTAAGGGCTGGCTTAGTGCTATTCTGCTGCTGTATAAAATTACAAGCAGTATAACATTTTGTCTCCACTTGATGAGGCAAGGAATTCTTAGGCTTTTTACTCCTGGGAAAGAACTTTGAGCAGGTTTTGGGAAAAACACCATTTATTGTAAAAGAAACTTCTGAACTTGGTTTTCAAATTTACCACTAGCTTTTAGCATCTGGTCTTCAGGGAAGTAATCAGAATTGGATTGTTTTCATTGAGAGTAGGCAAGGGAGTAGAAAAAAAAACGTTGGGAGTATCAGCTTGAAATGAAGAAGTTTAATATTTGTTTCTTTTGTCCAAAGAGGCTTTTCTTAGGAAGATGTTTTTAACCCTTTAGCAATAGCAGCTAGCTTGTTTTTAAAAGAAAGTACATATATGGGAATCTTCTGTGTCTTTAACAGCAGTGCTTCAATTTTGATAAATTCTTTTTGAGAAACTGATATTTAAGAGTAATGGTGATTTACAAGAAATCTGTCTCGAAAAAATCTTGCAGCTTTTTTGAAAAAAATACTTATGTAAGAATATGCTTTAAAGCCGTAAACTAATGTTTGTCATTTAAAGTTACAGTTTTAGGATTATACAGAATGCATGTAATATATTTAAGATTATTTAAAATTCTAGATTGTTAGACTGAAGGGTACAAACATTTTAATATGTTTTTAATTTAGGTCTTGCTATCACAGATGAAATTTTGCTGAGTAAGGCAGAGTGGTCCAAGCTTTTTGAAGCTCCAAACTTCTTTCAAAAGTACAAGTATGTATTTTAAGGCATGTCGGCTATGTTGCTCTCTTAACTAATGGTTTAATAATAGTATACATGATGTCTGTTCTTTCTAGACTAATGTAGCTTTGGAATTTCCTTCTGACAAAAGATATACAACTTTTAGTAAATGCCATATTTTTTTCTTTGTCAAAATAATGTGTGGCCCCTACATTTTGCGGCCTAATCTAGTTGAACTACTGCATTTGTAGAAATGTCAATTCTGTAGGGTTCTGTCAGTGTATACAGTATTCGACCTTGGCAAATGAATGAATGCAAAGATCTGTAGTTAAGATTTTCTCTTAAGAAGCTAAGTATTTTCATCTGCTTCTGGATACTTGTTTATCCTTAAGTGTCTTGATTCCACAGACATAGCTAATAAAATGTCACTGTACTATAATAGCCACTTAAGTGTTTTCAAAAGTGATAACACATTGGCTTCCATTTTCCCCCAGTGTCAAGCTCCTTCAAATAAGCTTCTACAATTTTTCTGAGATTTAAATGAGTATAATTATTTTTATTAGTGGTTTTAATATAATAAGTTAATGCCTTGCCTTAAGTTAATGCCTCATTAATTGTGTTGCTTTGATGAGAAATGTAAATTATAATAAATCATTTCAAAACAAAACAAAACAAAAACGTGGACTTGCACTTTTATTTGACCTGGGCTGAGAATTTGCCAAAGTCCCATTTAAAATTTTTTAATGCTTGAAACTTTTCTTGACCATTTCATTTTACATTGAATTGTGTTTTGTAATAATCAAAGCAGGATTACTTTATGCTATTTCCCCAATTAAAAATAAGAATGATGACCTTCTTGGTGTCTCTGTGTTTTGTTTTTGTTATCTTTTGCATGAAAAACCAATGATTGAGCCAGCTTAATTGTGTTCTGGGAGCACTGTTGTTGTCAGTGAAATTTAAATAGCATAATATAGAATGGTCTTGTTTTGTTACTTAGTCCTCAAGCTGTGCTTTCCATTTGACATTTTTTGGTTTTTAAGTAAAATTTGAGGGAAGTATCTTTGAATGTTTAATAAACATATATTCTAATACTTGAGACATATAGGTACGTGTATGGAGAAGGCTAAAGAAAGGTCTTCTAGATAAAGAATGTGAAGCTTTAATTAAGAATTAAAAATGGATTCTTTTTTCTAATTTCCTTGTATGAGTAAGCGGATCTTGAAAGTATATGCTTGAATAAGTGGCTTCCTCCATATTGAGAAAGATTAATACTGAAATTGGACAAACCTTCCCAGTGTTGTTTGAATAAATTGACATTTAAAGTTTGGTGGACACACACACACACACACACACACACACACACACACTCTCTCTCTCTCTCTCTCTCTCTCTCTCTCTCTCTCTCTCTCTCTCTCTCTCTCTCGGGATTGAACCCAGGACCTTCACACTGAACTGCATTCCCAGGCCTTTTTTATTTATTTTAAGACAGGATCTCAGTAAGTTATCCAGGGTGGGACTCAAACTTGGAATCCTCTTGCTTCCCTCAGTGCTGCTTATAGACATTTGACATATCCCTGGCTTGGGTCCTTAATTTAAAAGTTGCTTAATATTTCTTTAAACGATTTTTAAAAATTATACTTTATCCTTTGCTGAATGGTACCTGGACATTCTTTGACAAAAAGGTTATATATGAACAGCCTTATTGCTTATAGTGAAATGGTCAAATCTTTTTAGGTTGTTAAAAAAGATTTAACAGTTATGAGGAAGTAGGAAAATTTACTTGAGGAAAATTTAAGTTTAAAATGTGGGAAAACGAATATTTGGAGACATGGCATTATGTTAATTTTATCTGTGCTTAGTTCTGTTTATTGTTAACCCTTCTCCAGAAATGTCCCCCTTTAAGTACAGTGATGACTTTAGGCTTTTGAGAATAATTTACAAATTTGAATTTTTAAAAAATATGTCTTTGTATTTACTGTCCTAGTGATTGGCTATTCCCTGGATTGAAAATTGACTGAACATTCTTTGAAGCATATCTTGAAAATATTTGGTATATGTAGAATTTTTAATTTGAAATATACATATTCTTAGAAGAGGGACTAATAGAGAAAATTTAACTTGTCCACCTAATTGTTTTCCAGAAAAAGATGCAGCCTGCCTTGAGAGGAAGGGGGGAGACTTGTAAAATGTTAGAGTTCAAAGAAAATATTTTCCACAGTTCTTTGATATAATTTAATCTGATGCTTAAATAACTAGCAGTAAGGTAAATTATTAATGTTGGGAATTATGAACAGTCATTTCAGGCCTTACATTTCACTAGGAAGGAAGGAAAGTTATTAGCAAAGCTAAATAAAACATCTTAAGTGTAAGATTAATTTGTAATTTTAATAATTTATAAAATTCTTAAAATTTAAAAAAGACATTAAAAATATTTAATTGTACATTAGTTCTCAATTATGTGAAGATAAAATTGCAAAGGTTTTTAAGAATTTCAGTGTTAGCATCTGAGTTATGGTCTACACAGGTAAAATACTGAGATGAAACAGCCAAGAAATGTACTTAGTGCTTTTAAAAAAAAAACAGTTACTAGGTGGGCTGGGGATTTAGCTCAGTGGCACTGCGCCTGTCTCGAAAGCACAAGGTCCCAAGTTCTATCCCTGGTTAAAAAAACAAAAAAAAAAAAAGAAAAATTATTAGGTAATATAACAAGTAAACATTAGTATTTTTGTAAGTGGGTTTTTTTCCATGTAGGGTACATTTTGATAGTTATTGCAAACTATAGGATAGTGTATAAATTTGGGAAAATGTTTATTGTGATTATATTGACTTCAAAGTCAGTTATGTAGGTATTTGAGACTGTTAAGATATGGCAGTTGTGAAATAGTCACATATTTGGGTACAAATACAAAAGAGTTTAAAGGGGATTCTACTTATTTTTTGTTGTGGTAGATAACCTTGAGGATTGAATACTATTCTGTTCTTAAAACTTAAACAGCCTGCCTCACAAGCACAAGGTCCCGAGTTTGATCCCTGGTACCAAAAAAAAAAAAAAAAAAAAAATTAAAAAACAGGTTTACAGAGAAAGAATTTGGGATTTTACTTTTAATATTTTGGATGGATTTTTATTCTAATTCATGAAAAATATTTGCAGCTAAATTATTTGCAGCTAAATTTCTACTAAATTATTGCACTTACTGTCAGTTGAAGTTTACATAAATGTGGTTGAATAAAGAACATTTAACCTCACCATAAATAGTTGTTATTTAACTTTTTACGTATATGTAAACATGAATTTTTATACAAGCATTATACACAGAAGAAAAACTACACCCATTTCAATACAAATCAGGGTTAAACTCTTCAGACTTCAAAGCTTTTAGTTCAGATGAGTGTACTTTTTTAGTGTATTGGTTTGTCTTTGTAAATGGAGACCACTGTCCTGTATCATTTAAGTTTTTATTGAAGACTGGTGCTGTTTAACAATATTCACTTTAACTGTGTGGTAAGGAATGGCTTAGAAATTGGTTTGTTCTTATGCTAGATAATCCCAGACAACTTTGTAAGATTCTGTGGGCATGGGTAGCTTTTTATTCTTCCTTGTCTCTTGCTCAAAGTTCCTACACTTGAGAGAGCTTCTCCTTCATCTTCTTTTCCTTTTAAGAATACTCAGTTCTAAAACATATTCTTTTTAATAGCTCAGAAAGTTAGAAATTCTAACAAGGAATTTTGAATCAGTTTATGGCTCTGAGTATGGGTTTCTTTATATATATATAGATAGATAGATAGATTGCATGAGCTTTTACGTGACTTTGTGCCTGTAAATTTTCACATATACTTAACATGTACACTTGTATGTTTCATTTTTGTTTAATGTACATATACACCTCTTTGTATATTTATTACCTCTGGTACTTTGTAAATGTTTAATGCTAGTTGAACTTTTAAGTACTTTTAGTAAGACAGGTACTATCATCCCACTTTTTTGGTGGTGTACACGTCTTAGAATTAATTTAGAGTTACAAAGGTATGATGATTAGGAGCTAGATTTTTAAGATGTTGTGAGTATAATTTGAACAGCTGGGCTGCTTTTAGGAGGAAGCATGCTTTAAAAATGCTATTGTTTCTTAGACTTTTGTTAACTTTTCCTAAAATGTCCTTAGACTGTACTGTACTATTTTTTTGAACCATGGTAGTTTTTTTTTTTTTTTTTTTTTTTCCTAGCTCTAGTATTTGGGTAGAAACCGTACTTGTAAAATGTGAGAAAACATTAGAAAGCTTTTGAACATCAAGGAGAATAAGAAATTTTGGACATTTTGTCACTTTCTTAACTGGTATCTGTACTGTTAGGTAATGATGTCATTTTCCTGGTTGAGGTAAACCTTCTGCTTTGAAATTTAGCTTCCAGAACTTACTAAAAAGATAATGTAGGGGCCAGGGATTTAGCTCAGTGGTTCCACTGCCTTCCTCACAAGCTCAAGGTCCTGAGTTTGATCCCCGGTTACCCCCCCCCAAAGAAAGGTAATGTAGGGCTGGTGATTTAGCTCAGTGGCATTGTGCCTGCCTCGCAAGAGCAAGGTCCTGAGTTCGATCCCTGGTACTAGGGGGAAGAAAAGATAATGTAGAAGGGTTTATTTGACTGAACTTTATTACTTTAAGGAAAATGGGGTGATTATACTTCAGGTTTAATTGTTAAATGATCTTTCATCACAGTGGTATTTTCTTTAGTAAAAATTACCATTTTTCTATTTTGAATGGGATTGAATTCTAAGTAGAAATCAGATGTATTTTGGTTGATCTTATGAGCAGTGGTGTTTTTTGCCACAGAAACATCCTCTTTGGAAAAGTCATGAGGCCTGGTTTCACATTCGGTTTTATTTTCACAACCATTTCATATTAATTTAAAAGGCTGACATTTGATGTTAGGTTTTTCTTTGCTATTGTTGGGTTTTTTTGTTTGTTTTGGTGACCAAGTCCTGGTTATTTTGTTTCCATTAAAACATTTTTGTTTTGTTTTTTTGTTGTTTTGTTTGAGACAGGGTCTCACTATGTGGTTGAGACGGACCTGGAACTCACTATGTAGCCCAGGCTGGTCTCGAACTTGCAGCGATCCTCCTACCTCAGCCTCCTGAGTGCTGGGATTACAGGTGTGAGCCACCCTGCCCAGCTCTCCATTAAAACATTTTTGTTGAATAGGTATTTCAGTGAGCAGCTCTTTGGAAGATAGAGCTCTCCTCTGGAGTTATTATGCAAAACTGTTAGTGTGTGTTTAGCCTCTTTGAATTCAGCTGCTGTTTTATTAATTATTCATAAAATCACTTTTGTTTTCAGAAAAAAAAGCAACAGAATTTATTAGAGTTTTAGAATCAATTTTTGTTTGTTTGTTTTGGGGGGGTGGTACTGAGGATCAAACTTGGGACCTTGTGATTGCAAGGCAGACACAGTGCCACTGAGCTAAATCTCTGGCCCTAGAGTCAAATTTTTCCAGATATATTAAAGTCACTAGTATTTAGAAACATGTAGAATTTAGTTACATGATTCTATGTGCATATTGAGATTGCAGCCTTGCTAAGCTGATGTTGATCTATAATTGTAAAGAAACTTACTACATTACGGTTTTGATATCCAACATAAAGCACATAAATGAAATAAATAGCATGTTGTCTTTATCTTCAAAGGCATTATATTGTACTTCTAGCAAGTGCACCAACGGAAAAACAGCGCCTAGAATGGTGAGTAGTAGCTTAGACTTTACAAGAAAAATTCAAAATGAATCAGACACAGTAGGAAATAGAAGCCCTTAACACAGAGAGTTTGGTTTGATTTGTTCATAAATAGGATGTTACTGTTAATGATGGAAATCTAGTAGTGGGGATCCATATACATCTTTATTTTTTGCTTTGTAAGGGGCTACATACCATTGCTTAAAGTGCTTCGTTTTTAGCTTGCTATGTTTATTCAAATATTTGTGGTAATATCTTTTGTAACTTTCCTGATTTGGATGAAGTGTGCCTTAGTTCTGTTTTCCCCTCAGTTAAGCCTTTTTGGGTCGAGCGCAAGGCTTTTGCATTTGTGCGGGGGGCAGGGGTGGGATAGTTCATCCTGTTGAACTGCCTTGCTATATGTTTTAAGCCGAGTATGGACTTCATATTTTTTAAATAAATATTTGATTTGTGCTTTTGATTTTTTTTTTTAATAAACTCAACCAAAACTTTTAATAATAGTAAGTGACATTTGTTCAGGGTGGGCTTGGTGGAATCAAAAATCCGAATCCTGGTTGGAAGCTTGGAGAAGAATGAATTTATTACATTGGCTCATGTGAATCCCCAGTCATTTCCAGCACCCAAAGAAAATCCTGACAAGTAAGCGGCCTTCTGATGAATCTCATTTTTTCATCCTTTCAGTTTCATTCATAGAAGCTTACAGGCAGTTTATATAACTCATATCACTATTCTGTTGATTATATATATAGCTCATAGTAAATTTGAATTTTACAACTTAGTTTTCTACCTGGTCCGAAAAATTGACGAGTCTGAAAAACTCAGTGCTGAAATACATTTTTTTCGGTGGAGGGGGTACTGGGATCAAACTCAGGAACTTCTGCTTGCAAAGGCAAGCTGTGGAACCACTGAGCTGAATCCCTTGCCCTAAAATTTCTTTTTCTCTAATAATATGGTGAGGTGCTGTTAACTGGATTTCGCATTCTGTAGATCTGCTGTTATACTTTTTTAGTATTTCCTAACATTCCTTTTTTCTCCTATTCCATACAATATACTTAGTGTACCAAACATCAGTCTGCTTGTATTTATTGGAATATATTTTGCTTTGATCTTGCAAAAATCTAATTTGTGATGATGGATTATGGACTATTCTAAAGGGATGGGAATAAAATCGCTTACGTTTTCTTCTAAGTCTTGTATAGATCAGTTGCCGTTTTTATTGTTGCTGTTAATACTTAGTTTGAGATTTTACTTATACTTCATTGCATTTGGGGAAGTAGTGGAGTATTAGGTAAAGTTGTGTGAGATTAACATCAAAGATTGAAAATATAAATGAAAAGTTTGTTATATAATATTTTGATTATTTTAAACTGTTTACAGCTTTGATTCTAGTGCCTTTGGTACTATAGAATCATTAAAACCATTATGTACAAATTGAGAATATTCTTGTTCTGGAAGTGTTATTGCTCATGTAGTAATAGATGTGTAGGGAAGAGGTGTTGGGTTAGACCAAGTTTTGATTTGAGTCTGGACTTAGAGCTTAATTTATGAATATATTTGTACTACAGAGTTTTCCACATAGCCCAAGTTGTCAGCCCATTGGTAGCTTATGGTATTTTCATGAATCCTGATATGATGCTGTTCTTTGCAGGGAAGAATTTCGTACAATGTGGGTGATTGGGTTAGTGTTTAAAAAAACAGAAAATTCTGAAAATCTCAGTGTTGATCTCACCTATGATATTCAGTCTTTCACAGATACAGGTATGTCTCTACTTGAATAATCAAAATATTTGGATGCTTGCATTTTAAATTTGTCTCGATGTACAGAATAAATATGCTTATAATAACTATTGACATTACTTGAGCATGTTGGATAGTGGTCATAAAATAATCTTGATGGTTTTAGTTTTGTTACTAGTTTCAATAAAATATACCTGATATATAAATGTCTTTTCTCTGTTGTGATAGTCCTTTAAAAGTTAAGTGGAGCCATTTACAAATTTGTCCATGATTCCATATGGAATTAGAAACAATCAGAATGTTATAAGGTTGTCTATAAGACAGTCTGTTTCTCATTGCCATCATCATCTTGAACCCTAGAAATCTGTCAAGCTGAACTTGTACTGGCTTGAAATTTTTCTCATGTATGAAATGTATATCCAAGTATTAATTCATAGTTGAGATGGATGGTGATTATGTCTACATTTTAGATTGACTTGTAGTCAGAGATAACGGTATATGTTTTAACTAAAGAATGGATGGCGAATATAGTTGACAGAGTAGAAGGCCTTTCCATAGATGCATAGCTATGGACTAGTAGACACACAGAGATAACTATATCTTTGTGAAGGACTAAATTCTGTTCTCTTTGAAATATTCCTTCTCCAATATAAAAAATTTCAGTAAATAGCATTTTCTGCTTCTACTTTGAGTTTTCTCTTATAAACATTGATCATTAACATTAAATTTTTACCTACTTAGTAAAACGACAAAAAAAAAATTGGAAATTTGTTAAAAAGATAGATTGGTTGGGTGTGGCATGCCTGTGACTCTAGCTGTTTGGGAAGTTGAGGCAGGAGGATTACAAGTTTAATGCCAGCCAGTGCAACACCATTTCAAAAATAAAATTTGAACGGAAGTGCGTGGGTTGTAGCTTAATGGTAAAGTGCATGTATGAGGCCTTCTGCAGCACTGAGAAGTAAGGAGAGAAAATGCAGTATTATATACTATAATGTAAAGGAGAAATAAAAGGAAAAGAATTGAGTGATCTCCCCTTATCTGCAGTTCCCCTTTCCCACAGTTTTATCTATTCAGTGTCCACCATTGTCTGTTACTCTCTAAGTATTGGTCAACATCTTCTTTTTTTTTTGGTATTGGGGATCGAACTCAGGACCTTGCAACTTTGCAAGGCAGGCAGCGGAACCACGGAGCTAAATCCCTAGCCCACTCTGTAAATATTACAGAAATAATTTACAAATTTTAAGCTGTGTGCTGTATTGAATGGCAGTGTGAAACTGCATTGTAGACACTGCAGTCTGGGTTACCAGACAGTTGCCCTATTGCTTGCTATTCTTGAATTCAGGTGACCCTTACATAGTAGCCTAATGCTAATCCAAAATGCCTGAGTTAATCCTCATCCCTTTGTATAGGCATCACGTCATCTTACATCATCACACATCACAAGAAGGGTAACTATCATACAATAGAATATTTAGAGAGCCCACCTTCACCTATTACAATATATTGTTAAAATTGTTTTTTTTTAATGTTAGTTCCTGTCAATGTTTTACTGTTTCTACTTTGTAAATTTTACTTCATCATAGGAACATTAAGGAAGGACCACGGATAGAGAGTTGCAGTTGTAGGCCTCCTTGGGGGTTTGGCATGTTCTACCCACAGATAAGGACTGACTGTTGTATGGATTTCAGGGTAAATGCTCGGATACATAGACAGCAGAAGACATGCTTAAATCAGGTGATTTTACCTTCGTGTAGTAGAACCTCTAGCAGTGCTACTTACGAGTTCCTACTGGGTACATGTTATTTATAGTGATTCTAGTAACCATCAACAGTGTTGCCATTAGTAGTATGATAGAAATTGGATATAAGAGAAAAGGTGATTTTTCTCCCTCTCCCCCACATTCAGCATGATGTAATATAAGTAGATATTAATAAGAATGTAAGGGCCAGGGATTTAGCTCAGTGGTTCTTACTGCCTGCCTTTCAAGCGCAAGGTCCTGAGTTCAATCTCTGGTACCCCAAAAAAAAAAGACTATAAAAAGCACTCTATGGAAAATAAGTTTTATAACAAAACATTTAGAGAATAACAATAGTTAATAACTGTATCATAATCTTTAAAAGAATGTCCAAAATGTTACAGTACAAGTCATGAACAAAAAAGACTCACTGAGAGAGGAAGCAAGCATATAAAAGCACAAAACTTCAGAAGCTTTCTAAGTTTTTTTTTCCTAAAAGAGAAACTAGTAAAATAAATGAAATAAATTAGCATATAGTACAATTTTTTTGAAACAGTGGAATGATTTGAGAATCTCTGGACTTCTCTATCCCTTCTATTCTATTTTGCTTTCTTTTCTCATGTAAGAGAAACCATGTAATATTTAGGCTTATATGTCTTTCTGAAGTTGCATCCATTTGCCTGAGGATACCTCACATTTATCTTTCTGTATGGCAAAGTAATACTCTATTGTATATAAATATAAAATTTTCTTTGTCTACTCATGTGTTGATGGACATAAAGTCTATTGTAAATTGTGCTGCTATAAACATGGGTATGCATGTATCCCTGTAATAAGATGACTTGAACTCTTTTGGGAAGAAATACAGAAGGGGCATAGATGGGTCAAGTGGAATTTTTAGTGTTTGGCGGAATCTCCGTGCTGATTTTCTGTTCTTTTATTTGGTGCCGGGGAGTATACTGTGGCCCTTGCACACAATAGGTTTGCCCCTACCTCTCAGCTATACTCTCCAGCTATTAATCTATTTTTTTATTAGTCTTTGTGTTTTTGACAACTTTAGACTAAAATACTTTGGATTTTATGTAAAATTAGTTCTTGGTTCAAAGAACTAATTGCCAAGTAAATTTTCATTGTTAGAAAGTAGGTACAACATAGTACAGTTCTCTGGGTAAAACAGTGCACATTTAAGGATATAACTTGAATGTGACAACAAAAACATCCTTACACATTTTTAAGATGGCTTGTGTAGGGCCATGTTCTTCCTTCTCCTAAGTGCCACCGAAGTGCTTGTTTTGAAGTAAAAATTCTGAGGTCAGCCTAATCTGTTTATGAAGAAGCTATGGATAGATGCTTGAATTAGAATATAAATTTTATACATTATATCCAGGTTAAGCTGTTTATTAAAAGATTGTACTACCGAATAATATATTTTCACAGATCTAGTATGTATTTGGGGAGAGAAATACTTTTGTTTCTTGAGACATTTTAATGGAATTTTTAATGTGATTTTTTTAAATAAAATAAGTTTAACATATTCATAGTACAACTTTTCATCCCGAGTCTAACTACTTTTCGAGTACTACTGGTTTAGGTGTTCATGTTAGAAATCTTGGCATCATTTCAGTATTATTTCGCTACTTGGTATTAATCTGTTATGAAATACTTTTGCCTCTTTCAGAACACACTGAGAGTTTTACTTATTAGTGTTTTTTTAGTGCTAGTTAAAACCACTTTTATTGTTCTGTTGGATTATTTTCCTTACCACAGCTTTTCTCTCCTGCCCTTGTCTGCCTCATATTCTTACCTAGCCTTTAAATGCTACTTTTAAGCCAAATCGTACTTAAAATCTATAATAGGGCCAGGGTAATTTAGCTCAGTGGTTCAGTGGCCTGCCTTGCAAGCTCAAGGACCCAAGTTCAATCCCTGGTACCAAAAAAAAAAAAAATCTATAATGGCTACCTATGACTCGCCATCTCACTTAGAATAGAAGTCCACACCTTGGCTTCTACCTGGCCTGTCCTCCTTATTTTTACCTTCTCTGACCTCATTATTAAAAGTTCATAATCCCCAGGTGTATAGGGCTAGAAAGGTATTAAAGTTAGAAGGAAGATACCTACCAGGACTTGGAGCAGCACTTGGTAATCACAAACTTTTTGTAAAGAACAATTGAATTCACATAAGCAAAAATTAAAGGCCAATAGCCACAAATAGTTAATATTTTCGAATTTATTTGTAGATGAATTTTTATAATGATTTAAGGAAAAATTTCTGTGTTGGAAGTGTTTTGGTTTTACAAGTTTCAGAAGAGCGATTATGGACTTCTCCTTATCCTCAGGCCTTTTTCTTTTTGTTCCTCAGTTGTTCCAGGCATATTTTCCTGTTCAGGCTGTCTGGTTCTTGGTGTTTTCTTTCCCTGAAATGCTATTACTGTGGGTACTTTCAGCTCACTTTCTCATAGTCATTTAAATCTTCAGTCAGTTTTTAACTCAGATTCTAGGCTGAGCTTCCTGTCCTATTCTTTATTCAGTTTTTCTTCATAATACTTATAACCATGTGACATGCAATGTATTTCTTTAAATTTTTGTTCATTCTGTTCATTAGAATGTAGACAGTCTGAAACTCTTTTGTTTTCCTTTATCCAATTACATCTTTGGTTCCCACAACATTGTGAATACAGTCTCAGTTTAAATGCTCAATCAGTACTGTATAAATGATTTTCCCCATTTTGGGGCCCTGGGACTTAAATAGTTGATTTATTTGTAACAAAGAATAAGTAAAGCATTTATATGTAGCATAAATTTATTTGAACCTTTGACCTTTGTTATTTTTATAATAGCGAATCATCACTTTAAATTTTACCTTGCAGGTAAAAGGTATCGCTAGGTAAAGTTTAGTAAATTTGATTTGATACATGTGTTAAAATACTGGGAGTAAAACTATAAATTTAACATAGCATGAAAGGATATGGATTTTTAAATCCTTTTTCTGTAATTCTGATGTTTTTTAAAGTTACTACATTATGAGCTACACTGCATATAGTTATTACACTGGAATATGTAGTATACTTTGTGCTTTTATTTATTACAATGTGTCTGTTATGGTAAAGTAAAGTTTGTTCAGACAATTATATCAGATTAGGGACATGTCTTGAGCTGATAGTTCTGTAAATATGCAGTGTTGATGGGAATAAGGATCCCTACTTGGAATAAGTCCTTATTTCCTCAGTGAATTTAAACTTGGCTTTATTATAATGTTTCTGTTTCTTGTAACAATGTCTAATTGTATAGTTTATAGGCAAGCAATAAACAGCAAGATGTTTGAGGTGGATATGAAAATTGCTGCAATGCATGTAAAAAGAAAGCAACTCCATCAACTACTACCTAATCATGTGCTTCAGAAAAAGAAAAAGGTAAACATAGAGAGTACTTACAACAGCCTTACTAACATGTTTTGTGCATCTATTCTATCACTATTTCAGAATTTAGATAAATGGATCACCTGAAAGAGATTTTATAAAAACCCTGTTTTATGAGAGCAGTTCTATTATGTAAAAACTTGCTCTAATTAGTTTTCTTTTTCTTTTTTAAAATTTTTGTTTTTTTGAGACTGGGTCCCTCTTATCTAGTTCAGGTTGGCCTTAACCTTACTAGATAGCCCAACTGCCCTTGAACTTGTGGCAACCCTGGAGCCTTAGCCTCCTAAGTGATGGGGCTCTGGTCCTGTACCACCATGCCTGGCCTCTGATCAGTTTTCTTGGATGCACTTGTCTCAGACATCAGATTGGTAGTGGTACTTCATATCTTTATTGGCCCATATTGATTACATTCATTCTTTTATTTTTTTCCTTCCTTTTCCCTCTCAATTCATTCATTTATTTAGTTTTGTTTTTTTGTGACAGATATCTCATCTTGTAGTTCAGGCTGGCCCTGATCTTACTGGTAGCTTTGGCTGGCCTTGAACTCCTCAATCCTCATGCCTCACTTTCTTGAGTGCTAGGATTATAGGCATGTACCACCATGCCTGGCCATGCCTTTTATTCTTAAAGCATTTTAAAATCTCATATGAATATCTGAATTCCTCTTATGGATTGATTGATTGGTTGGTTGGTTGTTTGGAGACAAAGTCTTAACTACCTACTTCAGGTTGGCCTTGAACATACTATGTAAGCCAGGCTGGCCTCTGCAGTCCTCCTGCCTCTGCCTCTTGAGCGCTAGGATTACAGCTTTCTCTCCTTTAAAAATTGGTGGGGCATGGTGGCTCACGCCTGTAATCCCTGCACTTGGGAGGCTGAGGCAGGAGGATCACTATGTTCGAGACCATCCTTTAAAAATTGGTGGGGCATGGTGGCTCACGCCTGTAATCCCTGCACTTGGGAGGCTGAGGCAGGAGGATCACTATGAGTTCGAGACCAGCCTGGACTACATAGTGATCTCAAGGTCAGTCTCAACTACATAGCAAGACCCTGTCTCAAAATAAATAAATAAATAAAAATAAAAATAAATTAGCCAAATTATCTAATTGAATAAATTACATGTTTAAAAAATGAAATTACCATCTTTGGTAAATGTCAGAAAATATATTATTTAAAAATTAAAAGTTATATTATTTTAAAATGAGAAGTTATTGATTGTAAAGAACTGAGAGGTCACCAGAGGTAAAATTTTGTAGTATGTTGTTTTAGATTTAGTGCTTTCTTTTAAGTAACTCTGAGCCAGTTTTTCCTTCTTTTGCTCAATAGTGGTCATGGTGAGAATTTTAATGCACAATAACATTATTTGTTCTTTAATTGGTTTCAAAAATAGATGGCTTGCTGGGTTCAGAGGCACATTGTTGGAGTCCTAGCTACTCAGGAGGCTGAGAAGGATCACTTGAGCCTACAAGTTTGAGACCACAAAAGTTCAAGGAACAAAAGAAAACAAAATATATGCCTGACTGCATATTCCTATAATGGAATAAATGTTTCATAGTACACACCAGTGAAAATACCTGAACTGCAGTTTCGTCTTATTAAAGATGCAGATGTATATGTACCTTCTGCTACTTGCATGTAAAGTTCACAGGTTTAAAAACTTACAAAGCAAGAGAAAAGATATTTAAGAGAGAAGACGAAATAAAAGTGTACATCAGCAAATGATGACCATTATATTCAGGGTAATAGTTGGGAAAGGCTTAAATTTATAATGTTTTTTCATAAAATGTTTTATTGTACAAAGTCATGGAAGTTTAGCAAGAGGAGTCTAGAGTTAGACTTACTGGTTCAGACTCAGGCTTTGCTATTTCCTATCTGTGATACTTAGGTAACGAACATCTGTTCTTGATTTTTTTTTTATACTTAAAATTGAGATAATATTTTTACCTATTTCATTAGGTACTTTGTGATGATTAAATGCATCAGTCCTTGCAGAATGGTGTAGACTGGTGCGTGCACATAGGAAATAGATGTGGTAGTTTCCTGTACTCTTATCACCATCATCTTTCGGAGCTTAGTAATAGCCACAACAAATTTTCAGGGGGTGTCTAAAATTAAAAGTTGAAGGTCTTATGTTATTTTTTTTGGTCTTTTCTTTTTTTGGAGGATACTAGAGATTGAACCCAGAGCCTTGCAAATACTAGACAGGCAGTGTACCACTGAGCTGTACCCTCAACCTGTGATGTTACTTTTAATAAATTTTTTATTCTCCCCTTGCACAGGGTCAAAAAAATTTTCTGCTTAACTTGATTGTTTATGAACTAATCTAGAAAATGACCAAAATGCATAATTTACAGTAGTACATGTATATAAGACAATTTTACTCTTCAGCCATTTTAGTGTCATGTTAAACTTTACCTTCTAAATGTCCTTTATTGTAGTATTTTTCTGTCTGTCTGTCTATCTGCAGTGCTGGAGATAGAATCCAGGGCCATGTACATGCATACTAAGCAGGTGCTCTATCAGTGAGTTACATCTTCCATTCTGATAACGTATTACTGATAAATTAAGACAATTGAAATTAAAAGTAAATTTGCTGCATGTAAAAATATATAAAATTTTTTTGTTTTCAGAAGTGAATGTGATCGGGTGTGGTGGCGCACTCCTGTAATCCCAGCCCTCGTGAGGCTGAGGCAGGAGGATCACTCTGAGTTTGAGACCAGCCTGGGCTACATAGTGAGATCCAGGTCAGTCTCAACTACATAGTGAGACCCTGTCTCCAAAAATAAACAAAAAACAAACAGAAGTGAATGTGAATAGGTCATGTTCTTTAGGCCTGGGGACTTAACTCAGTGGTGCTACCACCTGCCTCGCAAGCACAAGGCCCTGGGTTTGTTTAGTTCCTAGTACCAAAAAAATGATTATGTTTTTAGCACTTAGCTATTTCTGCTTTATTAGAAGGTACTTAAAACAGTGATAACTGGATCTTCCATTATTCAAGGTTCATAGTAAGTTTTAAACTCTTACTATTGGCGGGTGTGGTGGTGCACACCTTTAACCCCAGCACTCTGGAGGCTGAGGCAGGAGGATCACTGAGTTCGAGACCAGCCTGGGCTACATAGCGAATTCCAGGTCAGTCTCAACTACATAGTGAGACCCTGTCTCAAAAAAAAAAGAACAACTCTTAGTATTGATTGACAGTACTGTTATTTGGAACAACTATAACTGAATGTTTTTGGTACTAGGGTTGAACCCAGGTCCTTCACACTGAGCTACATTCTCAGCCTTTGTTTTTACTTTTTATTTTTGAGACAGAATCTTTCTAATTTGCCCGTGCAAGCTGGACTTGAACTTGTAGTATTCCTGCCTCAGCCTCCCAGTATATACATACCACCCTGCCTGGCTTAAGTGAATTTTAGTATGTTTTATTTTGATTGTGTTAAACTAGTATTTTTCTAGGTAGAAGTAAGCATCTTGAATATAAAGAAAATTATTAATGATCAGAAATTTACTGTTAAATATTACCAAATAAAGCAACTATAATCTTATAATAGTTGCTGTTAGTGTTTAGTTTATTTCTACAGTGACTGCTCAGTACACATTATCACACAATGTGTATTTTTAAAAGTTTTTTGATGAAAACTAGTATTTTAGGATCTGTCCCTTTTTGTGCTTACAATGACCATTTATCCAAATGAACTTTTTTAGTGGCTGCATAGTTTCTCTTCCTGTATTTGAAATAATTTAGGTATTTTCTAGTTTGCATTATTAAAATAGCACTTTCTTTATTTCTTTTTTGTTTTGCTTCTTTTCTTTTCTTTTTTTTTGGAGACATGTCCTTGCTATGCAGTTCAGTCTGGTCTTGTTCTTTCCACAGTCCTCTGCCTCAGCCTCCCAAGTGCTGGTATTACAGGCAGATGCCACCATGCCTGATCTAGCTTTCTTTGTTGTTGTTGTGTTTCGGTTTTTTTTTTTTTTTTTTTTTTTTTTTTTGGTACCAGGGATTGAACTGTGGTCCTTGAGCTTGCCAGGCAGGCCACCGAACCGCTGAGCTAAATCCCCTGCCCCAAGCTTTCTTTGTTTTTAAAAGCAACAAGTGGGCCCGGGATTTAGCTCTGTGGTGCCATACTACCCTCATAAGTGCAAGGTTCTGAGTTTGATCCCCAGTACCGCCAGAAAAGCAAAAAACAAATGGGCCTAAAAGCAAAAAGTGTCTTAAGAGCCTGAATCCTTGATGGTTTTGTTCATTTGTTTTGTTTTGCTATTTTGAGACAGGGACTCATTATGTAATTCAGGCTGGCATTTAGCTCATTGAAATCTTTCTTCAGCCTCCTGAGTGCTTGGATTACAGGCATGTACTGTACTACCATAACTACCTTGCTTATTCTTAATTCCTGTTAGCTTATTTTCTGTATTTAATGTTCCAGTATCCCACATTCGTTGGGTTGGAGAAACACATTCGTTGAGAAACTTAGTTGAATTGTCAGGATAAGCTGTGAATTGGACTGAGGTCTGACTGAAAAGAATGAGCATTTGTTTCTCTGTATGCTTTTTGTCCTATTACTTTTAGAATATTATGAATATTTGGCTTTGGTGTCTCTTCTTTACTACCCTTGATATAGACACAGAACTGAGCAAAGTAGAATGCTGTTTTGTTTTCAGAACAAGCAATTACAGTCTTCACATTTACACATCATTAACCCACTATGTATGTCACAGGTGTTTATTCAGGCTGGTATGTATGTTACTGAATGTAATGTATTTGTAAACAATCTTCACATTTGGTGAAGAGTAAAGTTTTATTAATGTGTTTGAGTAGGAAATATGCTTATTTAGAGTATTAGGTGCTTTGTTTTGCAACTGACTTCATAAGCAAATGGCTTTTCATTGTCTGTCAAATCTCATCTTTCCATTTGATCCTTTTTGATTTGTTTCCATAAGGGCCTTCCTTACTACTAATTCAAAGAATAATCTTGTCATTGGGGAAACTGAAGCTCAGAGCATTTACATACAGACATATATTTGGAATGAGTCTTTGCCAGCATTGTACATAATTTTCATTAAAATGTTTGTTTGGGGCTGTAGTGTCCCTCAGTGACAGAGTCCTTGCTCTTGCTGAGGATGCACTATGCGGTGAGTTTGACTCCTGCCACTGAAGGAGAAAAGCCGGGAAAAAGAACCCCAAAAAACAAAACAAAACAAAAAAACTCACATGCACAGAGCCCAAAGAATTTCTGTAATGAACACTGAACCTGAGTGTATTCTGGGAAAAGAATGAAACCAAAGGAATCAGTGTAATATTGTAGTAGCACTTGCTAAGCAAAAAAACCTGTATGATTTCAGATTTCAGTTTTATTCCTGTGAGAACATCCATAGATTTTTGTTTTCTTGCCTGTTCTGTTTTAGAGTACCGGGGTGTGGTGGGGTGTTTGTTTTTAGAAGCAGAAATAACATTTAGTTCTATATGGTGATACTAGGTTTAATTTTCCTTGTGCTATTTTTTACAGGATAATTGATGGACTAATAATAAATGGACCCATGTTAAATCTAAACTGCAATTAGAGTACTATAAATCTTTTCTTGGGGAATTGTTTCTTTCTTTCTTTCTTTCTTTTTTTTGAGACAGGGTCTCACTATGTAGTTGAGACTGACTTGGAACTCACAATGTAGCCCAGGTTGGTTTCGAACTCACAGCGATCCTCCTTCCTCAGCCTCCTGAGTGCTGGGGATTATAGGCCTGCACCACCACACCCAGGGGGAGAGTTCATTTATTGATAAATAATGAATTGCAGTAAATTATGGTTGATGTTTTTGGAATTATATAGTGTTTATGTTCATTATGAGATAAGTAAAAACCTGTGAGTAATGCCCAGGTATGCTGGTATGCACCTAAAATCACAGCTACTTGGGAGGATGAGTTAGGAAGATCTCATGAGCTTAGGAGCTCAAGGCCAATCCTAACAACAAAGTAAGACCATGTCAGTCCTCCTTTCCCTCTCTGAAATATAAATAACCACAAGACCACTTCTGATGCCAAGTAACCAGAGATGGTCATTGCTAGTGTCCTGAGCATTAAAATCTTTCTCCTTGTGGGTGTATATTTTTATAGTCCACTGGTTCAAGATTCTTATATTTTCCTATTTGTAGTGGTTTTTAATTTGCATTCTATCTTCCAGTCAGTATACATGCTTTATATGGCACTCTTGTCTTGTTTTCTCCTATCATAACACAACTTGAGAAGTACATAACTCCCAAGTCTTTACCATTTACAATTATCATGCACTTAGAATTTTAATAAACTTAATAGTTTTTCATTTCTAGTGGGGAGTATGTGTCATTTAAGGGTGTTCATATTTCAAAGGTCTGTGAAATAAAGTTATATTTAATAAAATACTTTACTGATTGCAGCACTCAACAGAAGGAGTGAAATTGACAGCTCTGAATGACAGCAGCCTTGACTTGTCTATGGATAGTGACAACAGCATGTCTGTGCCTTCACCCACCAGTGCTGCAAAGACCAGTCCATTGAACAGCTCTGGCAGCTCTCAGGGGTAAGTAGTGTGTATGTGCCTTTTTTCATTCAGGCTCCAGTACTGGGAATACTGGACTCCAGGAAATTCTCCTTCCTATACATACCAGGAGAAAAGAGGAATCATTTTGTGTTTCTTGACCGAAAGGCTAAATATTCTCTTGTGACTATTAAAGACATCCAATTAGAGTGTTATTTTTATTCTACCACCTAATATTTAAAAAGCAAAGTAATAATTCCTAGTTCGGGGATAGTAATTTTTAGCTTTGTCCTAGTGTGTATACTTTACTTGTAATTCATTTTTGAGATACGCCTTGATTTATGGGATGAATATTTAGTTCTTTTCCTCTTCATCTCTATGTAGTTGGCTACAGATCTATTGAGCTGTGTGGTGTGCTAAGGAGAATAGGCAAAAGTACAAACCTATCTTTCTGTTCTAGAGTTGCTTATACACACAAGTAAATATGTCTCTGACAGCTTAGCTGTGTTATGAAGCAAGTAAAGGTCTCTGTGGAGTGGTTTTAGTTAAACCTTTTCTAGAAGAATTAAGTATCTCATTAGAAATAGTTAAAGCAGTTAAAAATATTATTTCAGCCGGGTGTTGTGACTCACAACTGTAATCCTAGCACTTGGAAGCGTGAGGCAGGAGGATCACCTGGAGTTAGAGGCTAGCCTGGGCTACATAGTTCAAAACCAGCTTGAACTACATAGCAAGACCCTGTCTCAAAACAACAGCAACAAAAAACAAAATTTGAAAGGAATAGATGTCCATAGCATAAAAATTACAACATATAATGAAGTCCTGTTTATATTTAGTTTCTGTCTTCATTATAGTGATCATGCTAGAAATTCTTCTATTTCATTCCACCATGCTCATATTTTCAAGGGAGGCCTTGATAGTTCAGGATTTTCAGCTTGATGGTTATGCTGATTATGTTAATTAGTTGAGACTTTTTGATAATAATATGTATACCATATAGTTCAGTTTTTGAAAAACACTTAATAATTACCCTGCCGATGTATACCCATGGCAGAGGTGCAGTTTGCGGGTGACTCCACTGGGAAAGTTGACACAGATAACTGACACAGTGTCTGTGTGTAGTGCAGTGGTTTTTTCTTTGGACTTTGCATGCATGGAGTGTTTTTGAGCTAATCTTGAGTAATCTGAAGACTGCAAACCCAAGCGAGTCCTTTGTAATTTTAAAACAGTTTTCTATTCACAAAGCATTAACCACCAACTACACAGACACACTCACACTGGGGATAGAGTCTAGCTCTTTTACTGAGCTAAATCTCTGGCCCTTTTCATTTTTTTTATTATTAGACAGTTTCATTTAGTTATCCAGGCTGGCCTCAAACTTGGTATCCACCTGCCCCAGCATCCACTACTGTAGCTGGGATTACAAGCATGTGCTTGACTTCTTGTTCTTTCTTTATAGGATTCTGTTATACTCCAAATCGGTTCAAAAGAGGATCTTTTAGAACCATTCTGTCTAGTGTGATACTAACCATGTGTGGCAGTTTAGTACTAAATTAAATACAGTTTCTCACAGGCCGTCTTTCAATGACAAAATAGCCACATTTTTATAGTGACCACTATATTGAATAGCACAGATGATAGCATTTCTTTCATCACTGTTCTGGTCAGTGCTGCTTTATGGAATGTTTGCCTTTGATTGTTGGTTATATTTTATTAAAGTCAGTTACAAAAGCATATATATATATTAGAAGGAAAATCAAAGAATCGTTTATTTTAGACCTGCAGATACTAATTATTGTTACTGAATTTTGTTTTGTGCTTAATTTTGTATTTACTTTTAAACTTTAATTCATTTGGAGGGGATTTTCTCTTGTTAGCAGAAACAGTCCTGCTCCAACTGTGACGGCAGCATCTGTGACCAACATCCAGTCTCCCGAAGTCTCCGTGCCACAAACAAATTCCAGTGACAGCTCAGGGGGTAAGAGATTGGTGTGATGTTTCAGAGAATCTTAATTATAATTGGATTTAACCTTTATTTTGAAAAAAATGGGTTTGTGATTAGTTGGAGCCCAGTGTTCATTGCTTTTGTATGTAAAGGTTTTCATCAAATCAGAGAAAAGCTTATAACTTGTTGATGTTGATAAGATCATTTTTATTTGTATTTCTGTGTACTTAACTGTTCAGGTACATCGAGTGAAAGCATTCCTCAAACTGCCACACAGCCAGCCATTTCACCACCACCAAAGCCTACAGTCTCCAGAGTTGTTTCCACAACACGTCTGGTAAACCCACCACCTAGACCTTCAGGAAATGCAACAACAAAAATACCTAATCCTATAGCAGGAGTCAAGAGGACATCTTCCCCTCATAAAGAAGAGAGTGTGTGTGTGTGTGTGTGTGTGTGTGTGTGTGTGTACGTGTGTGTACACCCGCTCACACAAAAATAGAGAAAGTACATTAGTTACCATAGCAGCAGCATCTTGTGAATTCTTAAATCCAGCAAAAGAAAATCTTTTGAGCCAGCAGTGAGAAGCAAGGCCTTTAGAAGAATTTTATTGTGTCCATAATGCTTTGGTGCCATAGTTTTTCTTCACTTTTCCCACTCTTTTAGTAACTACTTATTTGTAAACCCTGTTCTCTGGGGTAGACTGGGGGCGTGGTGCCTACTGTTGCTTGGCATTGAACCTAGGATTTAGTGCGTGGTAGGCAAGTGGCATACCACTGAGCTGTATTCTTTCTTTGTCCTTTTAAGCAAGTATAGTCTACCACAAAATTGTAGGGTTTTTTGGTGTGTGAGGGGGCAGTATGTGTGGTACTGGGAATTTAACTCAGGACCTTCACACTGAGCTACAGCACTGTCCCTTTTTATTTTGGGATAGGGCCTTGCTTAGTTGCCCAGGCTGAGCTTGAACTTGAGATCCTCCTCACTCAGTCTTCTAAAGTGCTGGAGGTACCACCATGTACCACCACACCCATCCATCTTAATTTTAATAACTATATATTTTATTGAGTCTTTGGTGTCCCTTTTAGCTGCTAGTTTCTTTGGGGGGTTTTTTTGTTTGTTTTTTTTTTCTGTAATACATGTGGAGTGTTTATACTATACTTGTTATTAAAGCATAGCCTCTGATGAACTGGAGGTTTTTGGGCATTTAACTGGGAGCCCTGCACATGCTAAGCACTGTTCTGTTGCTGAAAATCTGTAGTCAGGTTAGTTTTGGGACCTTGAATGATTGGATCCTTAAACCCTTCAGGAGGTGTTCTAGCAGTACTTTAACTTTTTATAGTTAAGGCTTACCTTATCAAAGATTCATTAAGAATATGTTGATTTGATATGAGGTGTTTTGTTTTTTCCATTACTGGGGATTGAACCCATAGTGTTGGCTGTGTTAGTTAGGCAAGTGCCATCAGCCCTTCGGTGAAAGTTACAACTTACAGTCTTGATATACAATTTCATCTCTGAAGTTGTTGTCATGTTTTCATATTAGTGAGTCCTTTACCACTGCCAGAGATCTCAGTCCACAATCACGAATACTATTGTCATTTTTGGCCAAAAGTTTGTTATTTAGGAACTTTTTAGAATGGAAAAAATAATCTAGATTTCTTATGGCATTTATTGTGTTGATTAATAATGGTGAAGAGTAATTTGTCTCTAATTGAACACTTTTTTTAAATTGTTTTTGGAAATAGCCACTATTAACTGAAAGTAATTTGAATTTAGTCACTTCTGTAATGCTAAATAAGAGTGAAAATGGGTATAGTGCATCATATCTTATTATAAAATGGTCCCTGAAAACCTATATGTGTAATTATCTTTTAAGTCAGTGTTTTTGTAATCCTCAATTAAATTCCATTTTCAGGGTTTTTGTTTTGTCTCTCTTTTTTTTTTTGAATAGAGATGTTAGACCAGGGAATCTTCTTATAAACTTTGCCTTGTGGTTACATTGTGCAGCAACCCAAGTATCTATTAGTTTTGCTGTGAATTGCACATTTTGCCTATTGGTGGTACTGTGAGTTCTCAGAACATTTCGAGCATTCAAGTCCCGCTCTCCCCCACTAAGGGTATAAGCATAACTTTAGCCTTTGAATGTTCTAACTTTTAAAAGGTAATGAGAGCTCTTAGTAAATAAATATGTAACAGTCCACTTTTGTAATTTTGCTTGTAACTATATTGGTAGAATAACAATCATGTTTCTTGTATAGTTTAGAAAGGCAATAGGAGTATAAAAATCTTACACAGTATTAAAAATTAAAAGTATATTTGAAAGTAAAGGGCTGGAGATTTAGCTCAGTGGCACTGAGCCTGCCTTGCAAGTTCAAGGTCCTGAGTTCAATCCCTGATACCAGAAAAGGAAAAAGAAAAGAGAGAATCATTCGTATCTGTGTATCTACCACATAGCAGCATTTTTAATGAGCTCTCAGACTTATCTCTGTACCCTTAATTCCGTCAGCCTTTTCCATTTGTTCTTGGGGCATTTGGAAGCAATATCTGGACATCATGTAATTCATTAGAATTTTTAAATAACATATATAAAATCACATACAATGATCCCATTTTTTAAAAATTAAGTTCATTAATATATCTCTCATGTCTATTGAGATTGCCCTGATACTTCATCAATTTTTTTTTTTATAGTATCTTTGCTCAAATGGTGGAGCTAAATAAAATTCCTACATTAAAATTATTTAAATGTTTTGATGCTGTCCCCCCGGGAGAAAGTTGAACCCAGAGCCTTTGCATTGAGGCATAGTATCTTCCCCAGCTCTTTATTTATTTAGAGAGAGCTTCTTGCCATGTTGCTGTGTTGCCCAGGCTGGTCTTAAACTTGAGATACAGAAGGTATTATCATTTACTTCATACACAGGGTAATTGCATTTCCCAGCAGAGAAACTTGAGACACAGTGGCATTTCCAGATAGAAAACTAATTTAAGTTAGAGGCAGGACTAAAACCGAGGCCTACACCGGTGCTAAGCTAAAGAACTTTATTTTAATATAAATCCCCTAACATTGAAGTCCCCCAGAAATAAGTCTTTTGTTCTTTGCTCATGAATACTGGCATTAGAAATTTTAGTGACTCAGAAGGAAATACAAGTCTTGCTGCATTCACTAACAGGTATACTATGTAGGTAAGTGTGAGGTGAGGTGAGGTGGTTCAGTTCTGATTAATGTGCTTCATGTCCTAATGTTTTTCAGTATATAGAAATTATAGAGTAAAAGTAGAAAAAAGGTTGTTTGGAGCTTGTGGATTATATGACTAACACCATCCATTTCAGAAACTTGTTTGGGAAATTTCATTTACAAGTATAATGCCCTAGCTCATTTGCATTGCTTAGCTTTGGCAGTTTCCTCATAGCCAGCCTTGTTTCATTTATGCATGCCCCTCACTCTTCTTATTGTTTGGATGCAAACTCAGGCATATAATTTTAACCATAAGTATTTTAGTGTGTATCTAAAATAAAGACTTCATAAAAACAACCACAGGACACTTATCGCACCAATTTTGATAATAACTCCATAGTGTTCTGTATCCAGTTAGTGTTCATATATGTGTATTTGTGACTTTAATCACTATTTTAAAACTTGGTAATGAGTAAGGCCTTTGTTGGAATTAGTTTTTGTGGGATTAAATTCTTTCTAATCTATAAGACTGTGGTTTCTGACATTTTAATGAAGTTATTACTGAAATAAAATTTTAGCTCTGTTTAGTAAATAAACCTGGGAAAATAGTATAGATTCTAAGACATCAAAACTTGTGGCTTTTAAGGTGTTAATAACGGATCTTACCAGGAAATGGGCTGTGTGTGTAACACTGGTCAATTACTTTGGAAAAGCTAAAGAAATATTCTTTAAAGAATTTCTTAAGCTTTATATGTGCTAATGTGTTGCTTTCCTCTAGCAGGGATGATAGTGTCCCCCATTCCTGCATTTGTTTTATTAGGGAATTCTTCCTTACTAAAATTATTTTGTGAATTTACTGGTTTTGGCATTGTCTTTTTTTAAATGGTGATGATCTTCAAAAAATCATTTTAGAAGGGTAGCTATGATCTCTTAAGGCTATGCTTAGTCTTACAGGCTTGATTACTTTATAGGTTTGAAAATTTTTTGTAACGCATTGATTGGCATATAATCTAAATTTTCATTTTAGAGAATAAAGCTTTTTTTTTTAAAAACAGGATGAAACAAGTGAAGATGCTAACTGTGTTGCTTTGAGTGGACATGATAAAACAGAAGCAAAGGTATACTGATTTAGCCTTTAGAATACATACACGATTAAGAGTACAGAAGATGTGTTAGAAATGTCTGTAGTGTTGTACTATATTTTGTGCTGTAGATTTTAGAGTTTTCTCTATATTTTTGTTAGAGAAGAATTTGTTCCTTTTTAATGTTAATGCCAAAAGTTAAAGGGAATATAGAGGCAAAACATGTACTTCACCTTTAAAAGAGCTTCTAATTAAGCAGAGGAGATACCTTGTAGATGCAAGTAATTATTGCAGTAAAGAAAATCAAAATCATTGATGGTTGGGGACTCCAAGGGGCAAGAAGTAAGGTATTTTTGACTGCTGAAATCACTTCAAGAAGAATGTATTAGCATTAAAGTGGTCCTTGCAGGAAATAGGATTGGGGGCTTCCATGGTGAGATAGTCATCTCCCGGTTAGGCTTGACAGTACAGTGTGATTAGAGAACTTGTTTTCAGCACAAGGTTTTGGCTCGAAGCTGGGATTCATGGGCCTTGAATGAGGGAGACTGGGTAGAGATTACTTATATCTGACGACTCAGTGTCATATTCTCAGAAATTGAAATACATGAAAAGTCCCATCCTTCCCCTAAATTATCCACATTCCCTTGATGTTATTTTAATGTGTATTCTTTGGTGCCTTTGTCGTTTGTGTGTGCCTTCACATGTGCATACAATATTGATGCCTGTGCTTTCTAATTTTAAGTCATTTTGTAAACCAAATATGTTCATGTCATTATATAATCTAAAAGTTAATGGCCTTATAGAAGGCTATTAACATTTTATCTATCTCCTTATTGTTAGCAGTTATTCCTTTAAAAACAGTTGCACCTTCCTACTGTACTATTGATTATATCTGATTACCTGTCATCCCTTCACATTTATTTTGGATGAAATAATGAAAGAATTATTGGAGCAAATGGTAAACTTTTGAAACTTGCTACAGATTGCCAAGCTGTCTCCCAGAAAGGCTGTGCCTTTTCCATTCTTAACTCTGTCTTAGTTATCTCATGGTTTGATATTTGCATACATGTTTTTATTGTAATTTTCTTTTGTACACTGCTTTAAAGTTAAGAGCAGTAGGGCCGGGATTTAGCTCAGTGGTTCCACCGCCTGCTTCGCAAGCACACGGGCCCAAGTTCAATCCCTGGTACCAAAAAAATAAAAAATAAAGTTAAGAGCAGTAGAATGTTATGGTTTACTTTGTATTTTCTGATCCTGTAGAATCTGTACTAATTATTGGGCAGGGGAGGAGAGACCACAAGAAGGAGAAACCCTTAAAGATGTATTTTTACTTTTAATTAAATAAATGTTTGGTGGTTTTTGTGCTTTAAGTAATTTTACTTAAATATTGAATAAGACCCCCCCACACACACACACTTGTACACATAATTAGGAGAGTCTTTGGGCTCTTATTTGTTA